ACTGTATGGATGGTTCAGCTTTTCTTACCAAGAGTTTTATCTGGCTTTCTGCATTTTGTAGCAATGCAGTAGATACTTTGTAAGATCAAATCTGTTATAGCCTCCATTGTCTTTCATTAAAATAAGTTACAATTGTTTGAAACATCATGTGATGCCCCATAAATACTTATTATTTTATTTGCCACTTTTAAAAGATGAAATTTATGCCAGACGGTGGTGGCACACGCCATTAATCCCAGCACTTGGGAGGCAGAGGCAGGTGAATCTCTTGAGTTTGAGACCAGCCTGGTCTACTAGAGCTAGTTCCAGGATAGACTCTAAAGCTACAGAGAAACCCTATCTCGAAAAACAAACAAACAAATAAAGATGAAATTTACTTATTTTAGTTTGGTTTAATAATCTGTCCTGGGCTGAAGGATGGCTCAAGGGTTAAGAGCCCTGGCTGCTCTTTCAGAGGACCCAACTTCCATTTCTAGAACCCACATGGTGGCTCACAACCACCTGTAACTCCAGTTTCAGGGGATCTGATGCCCTCTTCTGGCCTCTGTGAGCACCAGACATGCATATGGTATGCAGACATGCAGGCAAAACACCCATACACACAAAGTAAAAATAAATAAATTTAAAAAGAGTTTGTCTTTAATACTCAAAAGACTCCATTTGTGAGATTACAGAGACCACTAAGTTAACACTTTCATATAGCTTAATATAGGAAATCTTGAATTATTCAGTTTTATTGATTTAGCAAATATTGCTCCTTTGTATTAGATGACAGTGAAGAAACAACATTGGGTGTGATTATGCTGGGGAGGGCAGAAACTTACCAGATCTCTGTATTAGCAGAGTAATAGGGGAGTGTTTGAAAGTGTAATGTTCAAATGAAAAAAGCTACTTGGACATTCTGTAGAGGAGCAGAGCCAGCAAATAGTCCTGAAAAGGGCATGTTGGGAGGTCAGCGTGGCCAGGATTTGGTGAGGATGAGGAGCACCATGGCTGGGCTTCGTGTAATTTTTGTTAGGACACTGGTTGAAAGCAAGCTGATGGAAGGTTTAGAGGAATAAAATGATCTAACTTCTGACATTTGCTGTGTTGATTGGAACTTTGTCATCATTTTTTTTAATTTAAAAATATTTTTATTATTTCTGTCTCTGTGTCTCTGTCTCCATCTTTCTCTCACCATTTCTGTCTCTGTCTCTCTCTATGTCCCTCTGTTTCTCTCATTTCTTTATTATTTTTGCCTCCCCCCCAACCTCTCTCCTGCCTAGCTATTGACCATTGGGCTCTTTATTAGACCAATCAGGTGTTTTAGGCAGGCACAGAAGCACAGCTTCACAGTTAAACAAATGCAACATAAAAGAATGCAGCACATCTTTGCCACATTAAACAAATGTTCCATAGCCATTTCCCTTGAAAATGTGATTAAGACCCCCTTAGGGCCTGTTATCCTAGCACCCCAGAGGCTGAGCAAGAATCATTGCTTTGTTTGTCTGTCTTTTAAGGTTTTGTTTGTTTGTTTTCTAAGACAGTCTTTACCATGTAATCCTAGCTGGCCTGGAACTCAGAGCTCCACCTGTCTCTGCCTCCAAGTGCTGAGATCAAAGGTGTGCACCACCATGCCAAGCATATTTCTCATTCAGTCTGTCCTTGTACATGTCAAGCAAGTGTTCTACTGTTGAGCCACAGCCTCCCCAATTTTTTTGAGACAGAGTCTCATTATATACCCTGGCTGGCTTGGCACTTACTGTGTAGATCAGGCCTGACTCAGCCTTCAGAGTGCTTGAATTTAAAGTGTGTGCCATCATGCACAGCTCCCACATTTTTAATTAATTATTATTACTTATTTATTTTGGTTTTTCGAGACAGGGTTTCTCTGTATTCTTTGGAGCCTGTCCTGGAACTCACTTTGTAGACCAGGCTGGCCTTGAACTCACAGAGATTCACCTACCTCTGCCTGGTATTAAAGGCGTGTGCCACCAATGCCCGGCCCCACATTTTATTTTTTTTATTTTTTATTTTTTTTGGTTTTTACGAGACAGGGTTTCTCTGTATTGTTTCGGAGGCTATCAGTCCAGCCCGGCCTCGAACTCACAGAGATCTGCCTGCCTCTGCTTCCCGAGTGCTGGGATTAAAGGCGTGCGCCACCACCGCCCGGCCACATTTTATTTTTATTAAGTAAATTTTAAGAAACATTTGACATCTCGGGTCCTGGTGGTACATGCCTGCAGTCCCAGCACTTTGGAGGTAGAGGCAGAAGAATCAGGAGTTCATGGTAATTCCTTGACTACGATAGTGATTTTGAAGCTAGCCTGGGCTAGATGAAAACCTGTGTCAAACAAACAAAAAACAACCACAAGGGGCCTGGAGAGCACTTTTGCTGCTCTTACAGAGCATTCAGGTACTCTGTTCCCACCATCATACTGCACATGATGGCTTACAACTCCAATTCCAGGGGATCTGATGCCCTCTTCTGGCTTCTATAGGTACCAAATATGCATGTGGTACACATACATAAGTACATATTGGCAAAAAACCACTCCTACACATAAAATAAGTACATCTTTAACAACAGACCCTCTGTGTTTTAATGGTGGGCATGTGTTAGCTAGCTACTCTGGAAAGCTGTTTGGCCTTGTGGTCTAGGACTATGCTGAGAGCTGAGTCATAGCTACACAGAGACACAAGGATGTTACCAGCATTGTTCATAGCTGGAACAGAGAAGCAGCCCCATGTCATCAGGACAGATGCAGAATGTGTTGTGTCCGTATAACACAGTAAGGTTGTACAAAAAAGAAGTCCGGTGCCTGTGGAACCACAGATGAACCCAACATTATGCTGAGTGCAACAGGCCCGTCCCAGGAGGCAGTAAATAACTTACAACTCCATTTGCATTAACTGTCTAGAATTAGCAAGTTAGTAGAGACAGAATGGAGGCTAGTGGGAATGTGGGGAGTCAGTACCATGAGCCATTGTTATTGGATATGGGGCATCTACACCCCCCCACACACACACCCTCCTTTGAGACAGGGTCTCATGTAGTCCAGTCCAGGCTGACCTCAAACTGACTCTGTAGTAAGACTGACTTTGAACTTCTTGGATTACAGGCAGAAGCCACCATGTTTGTGTGTCTCTGGGGATTGATCCCAGGGCTTCTCGCATGGTAGGCAAGCAGCCCTCAATTCTTTCTTTCCTCCTTCCTTCCTTCCTTCCTTCCTTCCTTCCTTCCTTCCTTCCTTCCTTCCTTCCTTCCTTCCTTCCAAGAAAGTATCACTGGCCTGTCAGTAGTGGCACACGTTTTTAATCCCAGCACTTAGGAGGCAGAGGCAGGTGGATCTCTGTGAGTTCGAGGCCAGCCAGGGTTACACAGAGAAACCCTGTCTCAGAAAAAGAAGAAAAGAAAATCTCACTCTGTAATCCAGACTGATCTCAAATATTGAATCTCCCAAGAGCTGAGATTACAATAATAGATTTCTCTTTTTTGGTGGGGGAGGTGTTCTGGAATTAGATACCGGTAATGGTTGCATGACTCTTATCAATACATCAGAAATAACGGAATCATACATTGTTAAAAGACGACTCTCACTGCTTAGTGATACTGTTAAACACAGAGCCAGCCAGCCATGTGCACAAAGCTGACAGACAGGTGAAAACAACCCTGGATGCAGGTTATTCCTGGGAGGAAAGTAGCCACTGTTTCTCCTGCCAGTTTGCTGTACAAGGCATTGTTTTGAACTAGAGGAAAAATTTTGTTTTCAGCTGTAGCAGGCCTCTTGGGGGAGCATTTTGTTAAGCACCATTTTATTCAATGCTTCTTGTGGCTCCATGATGCTAGTGTGACCTGTATTTTGGCAGCAGTCTTCGTTTCTGCCTTTCAAAACAGGTAGTTATGCACTCTGGATTTGCTTTTTCCTTTTAAATAAGGTGATCTGGAGTTTCATTTTTTTATTTGACTAGGACAAGGTCTTATTTGACCCAAGCTCTACCATCTGAGCTATACCCAGCCAGATTTTACTATTTTTATTTGTTTTCAGAAGATTTCTCTATGTAACCCTTGCAAGTCTGGCCTTGAACTCAGAAATCAACCTGCCTCTGCCTCCTGGGTGCTGGAAGTAGAGACTTGTACTACTTCACCTGACAAGTTTACTGATTTTTTCTTAAGATTTTATTTATTTATTTATTGTGTGGATGTGTACAGTGAGCTGCCTACATGTTTGCCTGCAGGACAGAAGAGAGCACCAGATCTCATAATAGATGGTTGTGAGCCACCAGGTAGTTGCTGGGAATTGAACTCAGGACCTTTGGAAGAGCAGCCAATGCTCTTAGCCTCTTAGCCATTTTTCCAGAAAAAAAAAAGCTTCTAGAAGATTTTTGTTGTTGTTTGTGGTAGTGTTGGGGTTAAGTGTAGGGCCCTTGTGCCTACGGTAGGCAAGTATTCTCCACTGAGCTAAATGCTCAGTTTCAGCTATTACTTTTACAGCGTTCTCATTAGAAAAATGGGTGACTTATAGTATCTTTTAGGTGAACTAATTTAGCATTAATAGTGGTTTTATTCTACAAAACATTTATCTTAATTTGGGGGGCGGTGTTGGAGGGAGGAGTTAAAGTCAGGGTTTCTTTGCACAGCATTGGTTGTTCTAGAACAAACTCTGTAGACCAGGCTGGCCTTAAGGCCAGCACCACCACTTGGCTCTTATCTGAATTTGGGGGTGGGGGATGGTTTTATTTTGTTTTTTTGTTTTTTTGTTTTTTTTTTTGAGACAGAGTTTCTCTATGTAACTAACAGTCCTGGCTGTCCAGAATGGCCTGGAACTCACAGAGATCCCCCTGCCTCTTCCTCCCAAGTTCTGGGATTAAAGGCGTGCGCTGCCACCATCCATCTTATCTTAAATTTTAAGTGAAATAATTCATTGCCTAGCATGCAAAGCTTTGGTTCCATCTTGAATACTGGGTGGGTTGTGATGACCCAGAATTGTTTTAAATGCTTTCAATGTTCTGTTTTTCAGCGATGTGTTGGCATTGCCCATTTTCAAGCAAGAAGATTCCAGCCTTTCCTTGGATGGCGAGGCCAAGCACCCCCCTTTTCAGTATGTGATGTGTGCTGCAACTTCACCAGCTGTGAAACTGCATGATGAGACACTCACGTACTTGAACCAAGGTTAGTGTGGTTTGTCATATAGCATACAAACATGTTAAAGAAATGTTTTGGTATTGTAGCTTACAGTGCTGGTAATAATTAAAAATTAGGCTCTTAAATTGTACTAGCTTAGCAGAAATGTGGGACATTTTCTGTGCATGAATAGTGTTGTACACTGCCATCCCTTTCATTTACATGTGTCTCTTTCTGTCACTAAATGCAGTCTTGTTGTGTGTGTGTGTCTGTGTCTGTGTCTGTGTGTTTGTTTTCTGTGTGGCCCTGGCTGTCTTAGAACTTGCTCCGGAAACTAGACTGGCCTCAAACTCAGAGGTATACCTTCTTTTTCCTCCCAAGTGCTGGCATTAAAGGCATGCGTCACCACTGGCTGGCCACTAAATGGCCTTTGAACAATAAATTTTAAGCTGTATGTTTATGGTTAATGTTACAAAATGTAGAAGGGAATTGGGCCTGGTGGCACATGCTTTTAAGCCTAACACTTGAGAGGCAGAGGCAAGCAGATGTTGAGTTTGAGGCCACTCTGGTCTATACAGTAAGACCCTGTTTCCAGAAAGGGAGGGAAAAACAAAAAGAGTGCAAGAATAACTGTAACTTCCTTTGATAGGGAGTTTAGAATCATGAGCCTCTTTATTGAAAGACAGTAATCCTGTCTGTAGCAAATGTGGGCTCCTCACTTTGCTTTTAATATATAGTACTTATTTGGGGTTCAGTTATTGGAAATTTAACTTTCAGATGTTTTATTTAGTAATTTGTTTGGGACTTGAAATTTTCAAAACGGACAGCATGGGGGCTTGGATATTCATTTAATCTTATTTTATTCTGTTGGTGTTAGGGTGGACCCCTGAGATTTGTGTAGGCACTGAGGGAAACGTGGTTAATTCTTGGCCGTTTCAGTAAGAGCTGCTTTGTTTGTTGTGGGGTGTTTGGGACCCAGCCCAGGGCTATAGGTGTGTAACAAGCATTGTGCTCTACACCAAGCCCACTAAGAGCTTTTAGAGTGGGACCTTGTCAGGGAACATTCTGCATGCATTGGGAAGAGTCCTGACCAGTACTTGGCTTGCATACAGAGTAGTGGTTTCAGAGTTGCAGGGACACCAAGAGTGAGGTCCCAGTTCCTAGGAGGTTTGGGGCAAGACCCAGGGACTTTGTTCTCTCTCTCTCTCTCTCTCTCTCTCTCTCTCTCTCTCTCTCTCTCTCTCTCTCTCTCTCTCTCTCTCTCTCTCTCTCCCTCTCCCTCTCCCTCTCCCTCTCCCTCTCCCTCTCCCTCTCCCTCTCCCTCTCCCTCTCCCTCTCCCTCCCCCCCCTCTCTCTCTCTCCTGCCCTCCCCATTCTGCCACTTTTCTCTTCTGAGAGGAGGTCTCTGGGTGGCCTGAAACTCCAGAGGTCTACCTGCCAAGTGCTGAGGTTAAAGGTGTGTGCCACTATACTGCCAGGAACTTGTATGCCTGGTAAATTGAGGGGAGGCTGCTGTCTCACCATATATCCCTGACTATCCTTGCAACTTACTATGTAGACATGACTGGCATTGAACTCACAGAGATCTACCTGCCTGTGCCTCAGTTGCTGGGATTAAAACTTCGTCACCTGGTTCACTTTTTTTTTTTCTTTAAATATTTGGGAAAATAAGTGGACTTTCCCTGCCTTCTGTTTAATCTGTTTTTCTATTTTTGCATTGTTGGGATCAGACACTAGCCTCGTGCATGCAGGGCAGGTGCTCCCTCACTGAGCTTCAACCCCCAGCCCTCCAGTACCACCCAGGCCCGGTGAAGGATAGCATTCAGGGGAGAGATGTCAGGTATTTAGGAGCTCATGCTGTGACTTGCTATTTGTTAGTAACTCTGCAGTAGGCTCACTGCTCACCTGTCTTTTGGAGCTATTCATTAGGACTGCACCAAAAGAAAAAGGAAACTGTAGGTAACATATGTAGCAGAAATTGGAGCAAGAATTCTTAGCTGGATGGGGGTGGGGATGTTAAAACTATAGGAGTAGAGTTTAAAAACTGCAACTTCGGCCAGGTTGTGGCAGCTAACGCCTTTAATCCCAACACTCAGGAGGCAGGAACAGGCAGATTTCTGTGAGTTCAAGACCAGCCTGGTCTACAGAGTGAGTTCCAGGACAGATTCCAAAGCTACAGAGAAGCCCTGTCTCCAAAAAACAAACCAAAACAACAACAACAACAAAAAAAACCCTGCAACTTTGTGTTTGGCTGGTTATGTCTGAGTTGCCATCTATAAGAAGAGTTGGGTCTCTGAGTTTTGCCTCAGAGTCAAAACTAGTCCAACCTGGAGTAACCCGTTCTCCTTTGAGCAGCTCTGACTAGGACAAATCACCTTTTACCAAGGGTCTTAATATGCAGCAAGGCAGGACGGGTTTTACAAATCCCTTTGCTGTGTCCTGGGTTAGTGCCTGGTAGCCACTAGAGTATTATCTCACTCTGCAGGCAAAAAGAGCCTTTCTCCTAGTTCCTCTCAAATAGTTGGAGCTGAATTCTATTCGGGGAATGCTCTGCTATGGATGCTAATTAACCAATAACTTTGCAAATAGGTCTCAGGCTTTAGGAAACAATAGCACATTTATTGACTTAATTTTGTAAAAAAATTGTATACTCTAGGAAAAATGTTTTTAGTTGCTTTTGTTTTATTCCATAGTAGACTTCCTTTTGTTTAATTTTGGTTACTACAAGTCAGGACTGTAGAAATAAGAGGCTAGACCATAGGTAGTTATGCAGTTAAGAATACTTGGTGCTTGGTGGTGGTGGTGGTGGTGGTGGTGGTGGTGGTGGTGGTGGTGGTGGTGGTGGTGGTGGTGGTGGTGGTGGTGGTGGTGGTGGTGGTGGTGGTTTGCCATAGGGTCTTACTTGTGGTTCTGACTTACCTGGAACTCACTATGTGGATCAGGCTGGCCTAATATTCACAGAAGTCTGCCTGCCTCTGTCTCCCACATCCTGGGCTTTCCAGCCATAAAAACATTTGATATTCCAGCAGAGGAGGACCTGAGTTCATTTCCGAGTACCCACATGCACTGCTACAACCATTCATAACTGCAGTTCCAAGGCAGTCTTTCTGTCTCTTTGAACACCAGCCAAATGAGTAGACAGGACACTCATACACATAAAAGTAAATGAATTTTTTATACACTTAAACTTAGCCAGTGGATTTTGTCACGTCTTTAGAGTCCGTGTGAGAAAGGTCAACGTAGAGTCTTGAGTACTCAAAACAAGAGGTGGTAGGAGGGTATGAGCTCGTCATAGCAGTTGTATGTTCCTCCTTGGTTTGTTTGTTTGTTTGTTTGTCTGTTTTTCAAGTCCGGGTTTCTCTGTGTGGCCCTGGCTGTCCTGGAACTCTCTCTGTGGACCAGGCTGGCCTCTTAATTCAGGTCAGTCTACTTCTTTCTGCCTCCTTCCCACATGCTCAGATTAATAGCGTGTGCCACCACACCCAGCTAGTGGTTGTCAACCATGGCAGTTCTTTTGTGTTACTAAACCCCAAAGGAAGAAAAATACCGAACTGTGAAAGGTAAATTCATAAGGTAGGGGCTGGAGAGATGGCTCAGTGGTTATGAGCACTTAATGTTCTTATGGAGGTCCTAAGTTCCGTTCTCAGAATTATATGGTGGCTCACAACCATCTGTAATTCCAGTTTCAGGGGATCTGATACTTCTTTTGAACATGGTGCACATATATACATGTATACAAACATTTAAAAAAACTAAATATTAAAAAAAATCAGACAGTAAAGTTCAGAACAGGACCAGCATCTCACCGGATATTACAGTTTGATTGTATGCACTTCATACTTTATTAGGAGGGGAATTTTGAGTTTTCATTTGGAACTGAAATGTATGGAGTTGAAAAGGCTATGGAAGACAAATAGAAAGAGAAGCCTGTGAAGTCCTGGTCATCCTTCCAGTGGGTGTTTCTGGAGTGGCGTATGTGGCATTGGGCTTTAACAGGGCAAGTGCTTTGTCTCTGCACTCCTTGCCGCCCTTGGGATTTGAAACAGGCTGGCCTGGAACTCTTGCCTCTGCGTCTCAGGTGCTGGGATTACAGGCACATAGCACCATGTCCAGTTCACAGAGCCCTTTAAAGCTCACTTCCTTAGGTGGACCAGGAAACATGATGCAAAGAAAGCTGGGGCACAGGACACCTTCCTTCTCACTCTTATTCTCTCAGGCTTGAGGATTTTGTGTTTTTGAGTATCATGAAATAATCCCAGTGGGACAAGTTTCCCTTTGTCTGTGAGAGCCAAATGAGCACTGTTTTTGTCAGCCTCTCATTAGCTGCTTTCCTGGGTGACTCCGCAAGATGAAGTCCTCTGTTTTCATCTTTACTCCTTCCATGTTTGAATGGCCACACCTAACACTGAATCCTGAAAAGCCCTCTTTTAACATCTCTAGCCCACTCTCTGATTTCAAACTAACTTTATCAGTGTGGATGCCCCGCGGTAGCTGACTCTGGGTCTGCTCCTTGCTGTCTTCACTATGTCACATGGTGGCAGCTCTTCCTTCACAGAACTCTGGAATCGCTCTTGGCTTCCTTCTCACAGTTCACATCTAAAAGCAGAAAACTCACTCAGGCTCTACCTTACAGTGCCTTCCATGAGTGACCTCTGCTCTCAACCTCTTTTGCTGTTAGCCAGTGGGAATATACCTTTAGCCTTACCAGCTCAAACTGAGGGGCGGACACCACTCTGATAGATGAACATTGCTCTGTATTTCTCTCTTGAAGGTTGACTGGCTTTTCTTGGTCTTCAATTGCCATTTCCTGTTTTGTTTGTTTGTTTTGTTTTATTAACTCACATGTCGTTTGATTTGTTCATATTTACCTTGGGGAATAGCAGGTATTTTTGGTGATTTTGTGAACACTTCTTAGGTAGGCAACCCTTTGAGGGGAGTACAAGTTAAAATATTCCCTCTCTTGTATTTTTTCCCCTTTGATCAGTTAGAATATTGAGTCCACAGATCTGGAATTTAGCTTATTGACAGGCTATACAGGTTACTTTCTAGAGAGACTGTTTTGTCTACCGTTGTATGAAATCATTACTTGTCCACTTGAGTTTTTCAAATGTTTCACTATGTAGCTCAGGCCTCAGCTCTCAGTCTTGCCTTACCCACCAGTGTTGATGTTTTCATTCAACATTTTTGAATAATCAGATAACTAACACAAAATTTTTACTTTGCTGGGCAGTGGTGGCACACGCTTTTAATTCTAGCACGTCGGAGACAGAGGCAGGTTGACCTACAGAGCGAGTTCCAGCACAGGCTCCAAGGCTGCACAGAGAAACCCTGGTTTTTTTCTTTTTTTATTATTTAAAAAAAAAAAGCAACAACAACAAAAATTTTATTGCCTGAGTTCTTGTGAGGCTCAGTATAATTTTAAATGTATAATGGTATATTTTTTGAAATTGCATCTATGCTTTTTTACTGTTTTCAAAAATCAAGATTCATAGTTAAATATGTTATAATCTGTGTCTTAGTTTAAAATTTAAAATTCCTATCATCATAAGTACTTTTATTAATCTTTCAGTATATTGGACAAACTTAAGGGATACTTTAAAATTAAGGAATATTTCAATAATGCACTATGCACAGCTGTTTTTTTTTCTATATTTTGATGACCTTTTGTTGATAATTCTATCATCTAGAACAGTGGTTCTCAACCTTTCTAATTCTGTGACCCATTTGTACAATTTCTCATGTTGTGGTGACCCCCCAAACATAAAATTATTTCATTGCTACTTAATAACCAATTTTGCTACTATTATGAATTGTAATATAAATATCTGGTCTGTAGGATATCTGTTATTCAACCCCTGTAGGGGTCATGACCCACAGGTTGAAAACTGCTGATCTAGCGTCTCCTTTGCATATTATTCTATAGGCCCACAGGATTGATAGGGTGTTGGTAGTTAATCTCCAACTCAGCCTGTACTAGAAACAGTCTTTAGTTTATACCAAATTATACCATCATTTTTATTAATAACAACCCAGAAGTAGTATTTTTTTTTAATTTGGGTACATTTAACTCTGTGTGTATGTGTGTCTTTGAGAGTTAGGTAATGTGGATATGAGTGCTGTTGCCCTTGGAGCTAGAAACGGTTGTAAGCACCTGACATGGGTACACGGAATCAAACTCAGATTCTTTAAAGAAAACAGTAAATACTCTTAAAACACTGAGTCATCTATCTTTCAGCTCCTTGTGGTTAATTTTTTTTACAGCAGCTTATCCTAATTTTCTAAATTCTCTAGACCACTGTGTAGAAATTATGTGCGTACCAATGAAGCAATGGGCAAGTGTGACTTGGATTTAGTAACACAGAGAGGCTCCAAGATTAAAATTGGTCTAGGTTCATACAAAAAATGTTTGTCTGTATTCATAGTATCATTTATTGTCACCCCCAAATTGGAAGACAACAGAAAATATACATCACTTGATGAGTAGATGAACAAAATTTGGTCTGCTTTTGCAGTAGAGTACTATCTGGCAATAGAAAGGGAAAACATAACATAAAAAGGAAAACATTAAGTGAAAGAAGGCAGTCTCCAAAACCCCACATATTATGTTTCTGCTTATATGAAGTGTCTATAATAGGCAAGTCCCTAGAGATAGAAGGTGGATTAGTAATTGTCTGGGGATCTGGGGAAATGACAGGGGAGCATAGGAAGTGATTGCTACTGGGTTTGGGTTTCTGTTTAAGATAATGAAGTGCAGGCTGGGTGGTGGTAGCGCACACCTTTAATCCCAGCACTCATGAGGCAGAGGCAGGTGGATCTCTGTGAGTTCGAGACCAGCCTGGTCTACAGAGTGAGTTTCAGGACAGCCAGGTCTACACAGAAAAATCTTGCTCAAAAAATAAAATAACCTTCATGGTGCAAATTAATATTTCAGAAAAGCAGAAAGCTAATCATGGATACATATGCGGTAAAATAGTTTAGGAGAATGATCAGTGAAAATAAATTGACAATCTCCTATGTATTAATTAGGATAGATGGTGTGATTTTTTTTCAGGGACAAAAGAGAAAGATCAATTAGAAAATGCTTCTCTGGCACACTGACAAATTAATTTCATGTAGTTGTATATTTGGAGGGACAGTAAATTGTGTGGAATAGAGTGGTGTTTTTTATGTGGATTGTTTTTGATGCATAATTTCTTTAAATCAGGCCAGTCTTATGAAATTCGGATGCTGGATAATCGCAAAATGGGAGATATGCCTGAGATCAGTGGGAAGTTGGTGAAGGTAAGGACAGTCTGTTTTCATTTGTATGGACTCTGTGGTGATTGAATAAAAGTAGCTACTGGCATGCAGGAGGCTTTTAGGTTGTTTTTTAAATGTGTTTATTTTGTGCATGTGCCACTGCCCAGCACACTTGAGACTGGAGGGAGTTGGTCCTCTGTTTCCACCACAGGGCTTCTGGAAACTGCATCTTAACCTCTGAGCCATCGATGCAAACTTCTTTATAAAAATTTTCTCTTTAGAAAAATGACTGTTTTAGAATTTTGGGCTTTTTAAGCTGTATTTTGCCTTCTGTGTGTGACATTGAAATTACAGTTGTTGGGAACCAGGAAACAGTAGGAAAGTTTAGTTATGCAGAGTGAAACCCATCACCACAATGAAACTTTTCAGTTTATTTTATTTGTTATTATTAGAGAGAGAGATCATTCCAGCACAGGTACACACATGCCTTATGTGAGGCCAGGGGATAACTTCCCTTCCAACTTTTTCCAACTTTGTATTCTGGAGATTGAACCTACGTTCTCAGGGTTGTGCTGCAAGCAATTTTACCAGCTGAGCCATTTGACCAGTTGAACCTTTAATTTGAAAATATGTTAATTTAAAACTTTTAAGATCCTTTAATTTCTCTTTTTAAATTTTTCTTCGATATAACTTGAAATTTCAGTTTATCTACTGCCATATCTAAATGAGGATGTCAGTCATCCTACATATAGGGACATAGCCCCTGTTTGGTCAGCCTTGAGGATTGATCTTGAGACAAGGAATACACACACTTCACATATGACTCATGGAAGGTGAGTCCTTGTAGCTTCTGTCTGTCTGTGTACCAGGGTTTGTTATAGATACCACAGCATTAGAGGCAATACATTTTTGGAATATGTTTATTGGGAAGGTATAAATTGAACTCTCGGCAGGACAGTGGATATTAGTTGCAATGTTGGGGATCAAAATGGGATGTCACACAGGCTAGACAAGTTTGCCCATACTCCCAGTAATGGTTCTTTTCATTGGTTTTATTGTTTGTTTGAGACAGGGTTTCACTGTGTGGCCCTGACTATCCTGGAACTCTGTAGTCTACGCTGTCCTGAAACTCAGAGATCTGCCTGCCTCTGCCTCCCAGGTGCTAGGATTAAAGGTGTGTGCTACCACCAACCCAGCACCAGTAGTCTTTTTTTTTTTTTTTTTTTTTTTTTTTGGTTTTTTCGAGACAGGGTTTCTTTGTGGCTTTGGAGGCTGTCCTGGAACTCCCTTGGTAGTCCAGGCTGGTCTCAAACTTACAGAGATCCACCTGCCTCTGCCTCCTGAGTGCTGGGATTAAAGGCGTGCGCCACCAATGCCCAGCTCGGTAGTCATTTTTTAAAGAGGAGAAAAGATTGCACTTTTCTGTCACTGAAAGTTAAACTTGATAACTAGCATGCTGCTTTTACTAAAAAATTTGCAAGTTTAAAATTTTGTTGTTATTATGGATTCTTTTTTTTTTGTTGTTGTTGTTTTGTTTTTTTTGTTTTTTCGAAACAGGGTTTCTATGTATTGTTTTGGAGGCTGTCCTGGAACCCATTCTATAGACCAGGCTGGCCTTGAACTCACAGAGATCACCTGCCTCTGCCTCCTGAGTGCTGGGATTAAGCGCATGCGCCACCACTACCTGGCTTGTCCTGTTTTTAAAAGATTTTTTAAAGTATGTATATGTGGTGTGTGTTCGTGCACACAGCAGAAAATCCCTGGTAACTGGAATTACAGGTGGTTGTAAGCCTCCATGTGGGTTTTGGAAACGGAACTTGTGATTTCCACAAGAGCAAATCCTCAGCTGTAAAAACTGCTGAACTGTTAGTCCTCGTACCCATGAATTCCTTGTGTGTGTGCTGGGTTTTACAGTTTACTAATTATTGTTTGCTTAGGTCATCAACCAAGACTAACGATGTTCTCAGGAAAGTACAACACAGTTTGACATCCACACCAAATGCCAAATTGAATTTCTATCAAAGCACTAGAAAAGTCAGTTCTAAAACACTTGGCATTTATCAGTGAAAATTGGCTTTTTACAGCAGTTCCCTGATTGAGAAATAGCTGATTAGATAGGTGAGGTGTTTAAAATGATTTCATGGAGCTAGTTAAAATTTAGCTTATCAGATTAATTTGGTATGAAAGGTTAATCATTTAATTTGTTCAATTGCCTTGGATTTACTTCCAAATTAAAATATACAGAAGGGATGTATCAGACTAACTCGGGTGAAGAAATAGGCAACACTGGCAGTCCATGAAATAAGGACTCATTACCAAAACCAGCCAGATGGGTCTGTCCTATTGACATCACACTAGTCTACATAAACCCTGAGTACACTGATGGAAAATAGTTCATTTTAAGAGATTTTACTTCCAGCTCACCGTTCACTTGCTAGGCACTTGTCTGATTTTCTTTTTCCTCTATTGACTGTGTTTTGACTACACCCAGTTACACCCTGAGAGGTAGGATTTAGAACATGAGTGAGGGTTGGGGTGTAGCTCAGTGGTAGAGCACATGCCTAACAAGTGAAGGCCCTGGGTTTGGGCCTCTCGGGTGGGGGTGGAGCGAGTGACAAAACAATAAAGAACATGGATGAGCATAGGGTGAATATATTGAAAAATCAAATCACATCTTTTAAGTTTTCTTTATTGGCCCTGTGATCTTTGACTGTACAACTTAAATTTGGAGGCACCTGGGTCTCAAATGGTGTTGTCAGAGGTGCTGTAGAAGTTGTTTGTGTTGAACTTTGATGTGCTGTCTCTGCTTGTTTTTTATTTATGAGTGATGGAGTCTAACTTGGAGACTAGTCAGGCCTAAGACTCCTTATATAGTCCAGGATGGCTTTGAACTCAGTGATACAGCCTAGACTGACCTAGATTTCCTGATCCTACTGTCTCAGCATCCGAAGTGTTCGGATTTCAGGCCTGTGCCTTGTGTACCAGGTTCTGCCCCTTGACCTTGGCTTAGTGGCCATGCACTCCACTCTGCCCCTGCGGCCTTGGCTTGGTAGTTGGCCCCTTTATCTAGTGCTAGTTCTATAGGTGAAGTCTCCTTTTACTCAGAACATTTAGCTCCCTTCCAATGGTTTTTGTTTTTCTGTGTATTCTACCTCAAGCCACTCCCAACATGACACTCTTTGACTTTTGGTGGGTCTGTGCGGTCTGGCACTCAGCACGTAGTTCAAGCCTCAGACTTACTGTGGTGTTGCAGTGCTAGGTTTGTGAGTGAGCTGTCAGACCTGGCTCACTCTGTATTCTGGGTTAGCCTCGTATTTTCTGATCCTCCAGCCTTCCATGTAGTTAGGATTATATGCTTGTATAGGTAGGCCCAGCTAGGATTTTTTTTAATTTTTGTCGATTTATTTTAGTAGCGTGTGTATGTGTGTGCCACTGTGTGTGTGTGTGTGTGTGTGTGTGTGTGTGTGTGTGTGTGTGTGTGTGTGTGTGTGTGAATTATATGGAGTAAATTCTCTCTTCTCACTTTTATGTGGGTTCCCAGGATTGAATTTAGGTTGCCTGCAAGCAACCTAATGTCTCTTTAGAGAAGCTTATTGATTGTTACTTTTTTTGAGACAGTCACCTATGTAGCCCAGCTGGCCTCAATCTTAAAATGTCCTGCCTCAGCCTCTGGATTGCTGGGATTGTAGACATGAGTCATTACAGCCGGTATTAAGAGTAGTAAGTTAGTCGGGCGGTGGTGGTGCACGCCTTTAATCCCAGCACTTGGGAGACTGAGGCAGGCAGATCTCTGAGTTTGAGATTAGCCTGGTCTACAAAGTGAGTTTTAGGACAGCCAGGGATATTACACAGAGAAACCTGGAAAGGGGGGAGGGTATAAATACAGTTTACTGTTGTAATATTTATAATATTTTTTTACCTTTCATAATTCTTCTGGGCAGCTGGTATTTTCTTAGAAATCTATTTCTTACTAATTTCATGGTTATGTACACTGATTTTTTTCTAATTACAGTATTGAATTATTTTATAAATTAAAAGTTGTAACTGGGCAGTGGTGGTACACACCTTTAATCCCCAGTGCTCTGTTGGATCTCCATGAGTTCGAGGCCAGACTGGTGTACAAAGTAAGTTCCAGCCAGGGCTGTTACATGGAGAAACCCTGTCTCCAGAAAATAATTTGGGCATAATCTTTATTTGTAATATTTGGTAACTAAGTATGTCATAAACCGGGCTTCCAAGAATGGAAAGGTTCACAGGTAGTATTTCTCTTCTTGTATTTTGGAACTAAGATGTCACTATATAGCCTATGTTGGCTTCGAAACTAGCTGTTTGTGTGGCCTAGGATGGTCACATAAGCAGTCCTGCCTCAGCCTCCCAAGTACTGGCATTATAGGTGTGAGCCATGAAACCCAACTTCACAGAAGGAGTATTTAAAGCAGAACCTGGTTTGTATGTTCATCTATTATTGGTTAATATATAAAAATAAAAGCAAAAATGCTTCTACCTTTAGCTGGAGCGGTTGAAGTGCCCACTTTCTTCTCTTGTTTCACAGAGCATCATAAGGGTAGTGTTCCACGACAGACGGCTACAGTACACAGAGCATCAGCAGCTTGAAGGCTGGAAATGGAATCGCCCAGGGGACAGACTTCTCGATTTAGGTACAGGTGGCTGTCAAAGACCATGGAGATGAAGGTGCTGTGTAGCTATGTCTATTAACATGTTGGCACCGTGTAAAAATCATCTCGAGGATGCAGCATTGGTGTTGGTAGATCTGTCTTGAGAATCGTTTTATGCTTGAAGAGTGAAGTAGTTTTGTGGTGCTAAAGTAACCTCCACCAGGAATTGTATGATTTTGAAACTGTCTTAAACCTCAGTTGGCACTGTCCATCATATTCTTAATGAAATGAAATACAAGCCGTGGTAGGAGAAACTGTGATTCTTGTTAGGTGGATTTGATATTGAAGACAAGGTTGACTACGGAGAACGTTGAAGGGAAGTTCAACATGGATTAATTATTTCCATAGAACATAATATAGTAAGTTTTAAGTTTGTTTTGTTTTTGTTTGTTTTGATTTTTTTGTTTTGTTTTGAGATGGGGTTTCACTATGCTACCCAGGTTGTGCTTGAACCTCTAGGCTCAAGCAATCCCCAATGCCTCAGCCTCCCAAATAGCTGGGACTCTACTTGAGTGTGCCACCACACCAGGTTCAACTCGCAAGTCTTTTAATTACTTAAAATGGATGCTTTTTTTTTTTAACTTGTGTTTGAACATACAGATATTCCAATGTCTGTGGGAATAATTGACACAAGGACAAATCCAAGCCAGTTAAATGCAGTTGAATTTCTGTGGGACCCTGCAAAGCGCACGTCTGCCTTCATTCAGGTTTGCCTTTTCGTGTTGTTTAGAAACGTACTGCCCAAGCCATCTAGAAGATTGAATTCCAGGCTCATGAAAGTGTTTATTTGTAAATTATAGTGCAATGCCTTTTTAAAAGATACACAGTTAAGGGGCTGGAGAGATGGCTCATTGGTCACGAGCACTGACTTCTCTTCCAGAGGATCTGGGTTGAATTCCCAGCACCCACATGGCAGCCAACAGATGTCTGTAACTCCCAAAATATGACACCATCACACAGACATACATGCAGGCAAATCACCAATGCACATAAAATAAAAATAAATTATTTTTTAAAATACACACAGTTAAAATGGGTTTAATTTACTAGATTTAGTCATGTAGACATAAAAGATATTAGGTGATAGTAATAAAGTTTGTTAATTTTTGTTTTGTTTTTTGAGACAGGGTCTCTCTACATAGCCCTAGTTGTCCTGGAACTCAGTATGTAGCCCAGGCTGGCCTTCAACTCCCAGAGATCTGCCTGTTGAGTACTGAGATTAAAGGTGCACTATTACACCTGGCAGGCAGCATTATCATCCTTTTGGTTTGTTTTGGAGACAGAATTTCACTTTGTAGCTTTGGATGTCATGGAGCTCACCATGTACAGTAGTGCCACCAGGCCTTTGGGGTTTTAATTTTTTGTTTGTTTTGTTTTTCAAGATAGCTCTGGCTATCCTGGAACTCACTCTGTAGACCAGGCTGCTTGTGAATGTTGCCTCTGCCTCCCAGGTGCTGGGATTAAAGGTGTGCACCACCATCATCTGTCATAATTTTGTTTTGTTTTGTTTTGCTTTGTTTTTCAAGACAGGGTTTCCCTGTGTAACAAACAGCCTTGACTGTCATGGAATCTGTAGACCAGGTTGGCCTCTAATTCACAGAGATCTGCTTGCCTCTGTCTCCCAAATGCTGGAATTAAAGATATCCTTAACAACTGCCCTGCCTTAAATTTTATTTTTTTATCAGTGTTCACAATAATAGAAATGTTTGTTTTTTTCATGTTACACATTTCTCTTGAACAGAAACTGTCATTTAAAAGGAGACTATTGAAAGAAAAAGTTTTAGGTTTAAATTTTTTTTTCTAACTTATTTAAAGCATGTTCATAATCAAACTTTAAAGCTTCCACCAATGAAGAGATAATGGTACTGGATTCTTCATGTGTCCATCATGTCACAGAAATCCATCTGCCTCTGCCTCCTGAGTGCTGGGATCAAAGCTGTGTATCACCACACAAGGCACTTGTTGACTGTTTTAAAATAGACCCCACTGTATTTTATCCATAAACACTTGTGTGTCAAAGAGATAACTTTAAAATAACATGATTACATATTTAAAACCCAAAACTAATGTAACATGTAGTATGCAAATTTGTAAGTGGTGGAATTTAATTATTGTGTAGGTAGTCATTATATAGAAGGGAATAACTATTTAATTGTGGGCCCGCTTAAGTAAGCTATGTTTGTGTCAACTCTAAGGATCATTAGCATTCAGTATTTGAGTTGTCTATGAAATAGTCCCATCAGTTAATGGTAGTGACATGATTCATATTGGCTGAATATTGTCACATGCTATTAGTGTTTGTCCACTGAGATAATCAGTTTGTAGTAAATAGAGTGATGAGACCTGGCTTTGTTTCTGGTTGTGCAACCACATTGCAGAGGTGAAATCACATATCATTTGAAGAGGGCGTGTGTGAGTAGCAGTCAGACATGACCCTTGGTCTTGCTGCTTGCTAATAACTTCGTGTTGTATCCTGAGACTGATTTTTCAAGTGGTATGGGGAGTGGTTAAAATGAATTTTGCCCCCAGGGTCCTGCCAGAGCTTGGAAAGGTTGATATGGAAAGTTTAGATGGATACAAATTTGATAAGTAATGAGGTTTTAGGGGATGAAAATTGCCCAGGGAAAGCATTACAGATTGGTGTGTTTGGAGAAGCAGTAGCAAGAAACTTGGCTGTCCATAGCAGGAGTGGAGGCAGTGGGGAAGCAGGCTTACGACTCTGGGCCTGAGAGAGTATGTGCTGGGGTGGAGGCAGGTGACAGTGACTGGAGCAAGTCCCCATGAGGAGAACACTCAAACAAGAGAACTGCTGAAGGCCAGTGAGTCCAGAAATACTGGAGCTCTGAAAGAAAGGCCTGTATTCAGAATAAATCCGGAAATTCGTTAGATAATTTGACTGTTTGGTCTGTTTTAAAGGATCTTGAGTGTATATCCATGAGGGAATAAAATAAAATAGAGCCTCACTGCAAAGTTTTTGAATGTAGTTCGGCTTGAATTGTGTTGTAGGTACACTGCATCAGCACAGAATTCACTCCACGTAAGCATGGAGGTGAAAAGGGAGTGCCTTTTAGGATCCAGGTTGATACCTTTAAGCAGAATGAAAATGGAGAATACACAGATCATCTTCACTCAGCTAGCTGCCAAATCAAAGTCTTTAAGGTAAGCAGTGGAAGTCAGGAGGGATGCTCAGTTTTGCTTGTGAAGTGTGTGCAGCCAGATGAATGAGGTCATTTACTTTGTTTTTAAGCCTAAAGGTGCAGATAGGAAACAAAAAACTGACCGAGAAAAGATGGAGAAGAGAACACCTCATGAAAAAGAAAAGTATCAGCCATCTTATGACACCACCATCCTCACAGAGGTAATGCAGCACGGCATTTGACTTTGCAGAGAAGCAGAGGTTTGTGTGTTAGCAGGACCTTGCAGATGTGTTGCAACAAAGGGATTGGGAAGGCAGGGTGGCGGATTGACATGATATTCCGAGGATTTTGTGGGCACATGTTTTACCTAAGTTTGGGGATTTTCATGAGTTTATTTGCCTGGGTGGGATCTTGAATGAAGATGCTGAAATCCCAATGAGGTCTCAGAATAGACCTTAAAACCTTGAAATTGACAAGAGATTTAAGTGGGGGCCTAGAATGTCCATTTTTTTATCACTGCTGGGGTTTTGCATTTTCTTTAACTTTGAATCCTGTTAGTCATACATTTGTTTAATTGAGCTCAAAGACATGAAACAGGGTATTAGGTCTTTCTTTGTATAATGAAAAGACATTGACCCCAATCTTTGGTGTTTGTCCAGATGAGGCTTGAGCCTATAATTGAAGATGCAGTTGAACATGAGCAGAAAAAGTCCAGCAAGCGGACTTTGCCAGCAGACTACGGTGATTCTCTGGCAAAGCGAGGCAGTGTAAGGGACTTCTGCTTCTCTTTTCATTGTGCAAGAACCCTTGTGCAGTGTTAGATATAGGACCAACTTCCATGGAAAAGTAAAGCCGAAATTGTTTTTTATGTCCATGTCTTTATTTAATTTGCTTTTGTTTAGACTTTCTGCTTTCTGTTTGTTCCTCGCTGAGGAAAATTTCCTAAATCTAACACTTTAAAACAAAGCATAAACGATGTTGACCTTATTGGGTGGTTTTGGAGGGAACGACACTCAGAGAGATGTTTTCCAATTTGTTCCCTTGTTCTCTTCCCCTCCCCCCTCCCTTCCCCTTCACACACACAGCTCCTTCAAGATAATTGAAATTACTTGACTAATTTTAAATCATTTTTATGTAGTTAAAAAAAGTTTGGCTTTTTTCATGTGTATACCTAATAAGAAAATTTTAGATAGTTAAGTGATGGCAGCAAGCTTGACAGTAACATGTGCAGTACTCTGTGTCACATCCCCTTGCATGCACTATAAGAATGTGTGTCTGTCTGTGCTTTTAAAAGCCTCTCTGGCAGCACTGGTAGAAAAACATCTTTGATTGTGTAGTGTTTCCTCAGCACCTGCTTGTGATATAATGCTTCAGACCACACACAGTGGTGACCTTGCTGCACTTAACCCCAGGACCCTCAGGAACAAATAGTGAGGGTTTTTGATTAAGCTTTGTCAGATTAAATATAGCAAGTCTTTATAACACAACTCTGTCCAGCAGTCCACAGAGATTATTTTGATTTCAGATTTTAACCAGATTATATACCCTTATTAAATATAAGTAGACATGCCAAAGAGTTTCTTAAAATAACTATTTTGAGTACTCTGTTCATTATTGCACTGCTTGTATTAATAGGGTCCCCCAAATGGATCTTCACTCTTTAACAATTATCTGTGATTAATTGTGGACTTTGAAGGTCAGTGTCACAAGGACTATCTCAGAACATCATTTCCATCTTAAAGCAGTGTTTAAATGCTTCTTTGCGCATGCTTGCATCCCAGGGCACTGGGAGCACATGCTGCATTTTCTTTAATTTATTCATTTATTTTTTTTCTTTTTTAGACAGTAGCCCAGCATGGCCTAGAACTCACTATGTTGCACAACTTGGCTTTGAACTCATGGCAGTCCTCCTGCCTCAGCCTCCCCAGTACTAGGATTTCAGATGCGAGCCACCACACCTGATTCTCTGCATTTTCTTTATTGGGCTGTTCTGGTTTCAGTCAGAAGCACCCAGTGCTCCTTTCCCCAGATGTCTGCTCTCCACTTCATGTGTTACCAACTCCTCATTGTTCTGAAAACCTACACGTTCTTAGTCACATTTTTTGGAGGGGATCTTGGGAGCTTAAGTCATTTGCCTTTATAGCTTGCCTTATAAACCATTTAGTGAATTTAAAGAAGTTGGTTCTGGTGTGATTGATAGGTAAATCAGTTTTAGCCAGAGCCAGTCCAAAAATGAGGAAGTCAGTAGTAAATTCTTGCTGCTTCTTAAGCCTAAAATATGCAAAACGTCAGCAGTTCACACCTGGGATTTCACATCTTCTTAAGTGTGCCGCCTGCCTCCCTGGCTGCATTTGGTTTGGGTTTGATGCTTCTAGAGTTGGTTAGACTGCAGTCTGGAAACCTGTTCAAAATACAGGGTCCAGATCATGAATCCCTTAATCAAGAACATAGCTGAATCACTTCGTCTATAACGGGGGTGGGGGTAACCTTTCTTGCAGTTTTGGGCTTTCAGTTAAAAAGATGTCTTGATAAAATCTAAAGCATGCTGGATGACAGGGTCCCATGCTGAATTGTCACTCCTGCTAGTTACCAGGAGATGATGCGGAATAAACCCTTTGTGTTTCTGTTGACCGTTGGCTCGCTCCTGGATTGCCAGTTTGCTGCTGACAGTGGGTCTTCATTCTTTAATCTTGGTGGGAAAACACTACATTTGCAGTACACTGAAACCGAAACTGCACAGGTCCAGACCATTGGCAGAGCCTTCAGGAACACCAGCACTGTACTACAGCATGCTCTTAGCAGCTCTGTACTACAGCATGCTCTTAGCAGCTCCCTGGACTGTGGGTACTTGAGAGTGGTACAGTGCTTGCCCGGCACACATAGTGATCTTGGGTTTGCTCTCCAGTCCCACAAAGCAAACAAAATCCCAGATTAAAACTCCTCTTTTGATAGTAAAAGCATCTAAATTTGTAAAAGTGAAATAGATGAGTGTATGGTGAGTAAACATACCGTCTCCACTGTGCCAAGCCAAGATAAAGTTTGGGGATAGCTCTATCTTCTCACAGAGCTGGCAGTAATTACCAAGATAAATTTGAGGAGGTGTTGCATTGAATATTAAGAGTTACTTGGTTGTATTGTGATATTTTTTATTAAGAGAAGGGTGGTGTAACAGGAAACTCTTGCATGTAGTGGAGTGACAGTCCAGTTGGTTAGACTGTACACCGTATGAACTGAGGAAAAAGTGATAGGTCATAAGACAAAAAGGGCTCTACTGTTACAACAACAGGTATTTCCATGTTGAATGTAACGTGTGGTCAGGTCACTGCTAGGGCTGACCAGTCAGACAAGTTTCTACTTTGAAAGGCGGTAGTCTTGGAAAAGTGTCTGCAGCGATTTTTCTGTTTTGAGATGTGAGGGATGCTGGGGATTTCTTTTCTTTCCCTATCTATGTTGTGTTTGGTAGCTGCTAAGACATAGGTGGTCTCTGTCTGGAGACGCCTCCATTAGTGATGTTAGCATTTTGCTAAGAAGAATTTGAACAAGATGATTTTTCCTTTGATTATTTTCAAACTGGCATCCAAAAGTTTCCTTGTAAATTTGAACAATTGCAAAGGAAGCATTTCATGGCATGATGAATATTTGTATTTAAAGTCTTAATTATTAAAACTTATCTCTGAGTTTGAGGACAATCAGGGCTACACAGAGAAACCCTGTCTCGAAAAACAAAACTATTGGGCTGGAGAGATGACTCAGAGGTTAAGAGCACTCACCGGCTGCTCTTCCAGAGGTTCTGAGTTCAATTCCCAGCAACCACTTGATGGCTCACAACCATTTATAAAGAGATCTGGTGTCCTCTTCTGGTCTGCAGGCATACACGCAGGCAGAACACTGTATGTGTACTAAATAAACAAAACAAAACAAAAAAAAAACTATTATCAATCTGGAGGAAATGTGCTGTAGAATCCAAGTATCCCAGACATTTCAAAAAAAAAATTTTAGTGCTATATTTTACTCCCATCTTCTCTCATTTTCTTACATTTGTATTCTATTCCTTTTAAATGTTACCTTAATATGATTATACCCTTATGCCTGGAAGTCTCGTCATGATAGCCTCACTGTTTTAAGTTTACTTTTGTTTTATGTGCATGAGCATTTTGCCTGCATACATGTCTGTGTACCACATGTGTGCAGTGCCCAGGCAGTCAGAAGGTGCTGGATCTTCTGGAACTGACGTTACATACAGTTGTTAGCTGCCATGTGGGTGCTGGGAACCAAATCTAAGTCTTCTGGAAAAACAAGTTCTCTTAACCACTGAGCCATCTCTCCAGCCCAGTATTCCCAGCTCTTTACAATATAGTTTGTGGGCTTTTGAGTTTTACTCTGTAGCCCAGGCTGGCATTGAAATCAGGGCCATCTTCCTTACTCAGCCTCCTGAATTCTGGAGTGCAGGCATGAGCCACCACTCCTGGGCACAATAGATTTTTATAAATGGGGAAGAGTTTTTGTTGTTTTAATTTTGTTTGGTTTTTGAGTTAGGGTCTCATGTAGCTTATGTTGGCCTTAAACTTTTCATCTCCTTGCCACCACCTCCCGCCCCTGGTTTTAGACATGTGCTATCATGCCTAGCTTGAAACTTAATTTTTAAAATCCTTATGACTATAGATTAAGCTTGGGTAGGAATTAAAAATTGGTGTGTATGCTGCCAAGCCCGGCAACCTAAGTTTGATCTCTAAGACTCCAGTGGTGGAAGGAGAGAACAAACTCCCCAGAATGTTCACATACGTGCCATGGAAGGTGTGCATGTTTATGCACACAGACATATACATACATACATACTATAATTTAAAAAAACTCATTAGGACCAATTTATTAAAACAATTAATACGTTTTTTTTGGGAGGGGGGTTAACACAGGTTTCTCTGTGTAGCCCTGGCTTTCCTGGGTCTCACTGTGTTGACCAGGCTGGCCTGGAACTCAGATCAGCCTGCCTCTGCCTCCCAAGTGCCAGGATTAAAGACATGCAACACTACACCTGGCAGTCAGTTATACAAATTTTGGAGAACAGTTAATAAATATAAAAATAGAATTTCTTTATAAATGTGTCTCAAATAAAGAGAACAGAAATACTCTTTAGATTTTTATTTTGTTTTATTTATTTATTGATTTTTGAGACTTAGCTGACCTGGAACATCCCGGGTACTTAGATTATAGGTGTGTGCCACCATGCCCAGCTCAGACTTTTTAAAAATATGTATGAGAAATTTTGTTTAGATAACATTTACCAGTATCATTCAAGAATCCACATTCCTTTTGAATCTCTATAAATATACCAGTGATCTTTATAGGTGATTTAGTATCTGCCAGGTAACCATAGGTCCCTCTAGTAAATAGAGCAGAGAACTGAAAGCCACATCACTTGACAAAAGCTCTTCGGAAGCAGCCATTTTACTGTCATTTGCTTGGCTCTGGAGAGTCGTAAACCCCAGTGCTGAGGTTAGATGTCATGCCTGTCTTTTCTCAGATGGGAGCTTGTTGATTATAAAGGGGAACCCTTGAAACTGACAACCTCTACAGAATACTTGTAGAAAGATACCTGTGAAGCTTAGAAGGGAAGAAGGGTTTCTACTTGACTACTGTGGCCTGCTCAGCATGCTCTGGACCCTGGCTTATTTAGTTGGCTAACTGTAATAGTGGGTTTCTGTATCTTTGCTCAGTCTCTTGTCAAAATTTTGCCTAAGGTTGAGAGACACTCAGTTAACCATATCCCTTTCAGAAAACACATACATCCTGGCAGTGTACACAAGCAGTTGGTGTGCTTGCCTGCTAGCCTGTTCAGTAAGTCTTATTTATATCAAGGTAACAAGTGGGTACTGGTGAGGCTGCTCCCTGGCAGGCATATGAGCAGTAAACAGGACCTGGCCACACCCAGATCACTGTGTAATGTCAGATGTTGCTTGTGAATCCCTTCTTGTCTGCTGTTTTTAAACCTTGAGATGTGTCTGTTGGAGCACCTGAGAGAAGATGCTGGAAGAAGTGAGTGTGTGTGTGTGTGTGTGTGTAGGCTTTTAGAAAGCAAATATATTTAAAATGTCTTTATAAATTTTGCTTAGGTTATAAGTTCCATGTCTTCTGCTGCACATGTCTGATAGGCACCAGGTATCTTGTGCTTTCTAAGTTTGCATTGAGTCAGTTAGAGACCAGATGACACAGGTGCTTCTCCCACACACTTAAGAAGCAAGTTGTTAACTCATTTCTGTTTCTATCCTTAGTGTTCTCCGTGGCCTGACACCCCCACAGCCTATGTGAATAACAGCCCTGCCCCAGCGCCCACCTTCACCTCCTCACAACAGAGCACCTGCAGTGTCCCGGACAGGTATCTGGTCTCTGTGGCCGTGTGCTTGCACTCAACCGATGCTCCGCAAGTCCCTGTCCATGCAGCCTCATTTATGTGTGTATGTGTGTCAGTGTCGGGAAACAGCCTCTGCTAGGCCATATGCGTCTTCCCCTATCAGTCCTGTGCACCTCGTCCTGTGTCTCACTTTGACAACAGAGCAGCAACTGCAGAAGGGGGGTGGAGGGGTGCTGTCTTCAGAGACTAAAACAGGAGGATGGAGGCCAGTTTGGGGGCTACATAACAGGACCCTGTATGCAAAAAGGTGAGAGGAGTTTTTAAGATAGAGCCAAGGTGTTGTCTTTGAGAGATTTAAGAATGCACCAATGGAGTGAATGGTTGATGTGAGGCCCTGATATGAATATTTAAGGTTACATTGATTACAGAGTACAGTGGGCTTTAAGTTTACCACTTGATTAAGTTGAGTATTTAAGATAAAAGGAAAGACCTTTTATTTCCTTATGACTGTGGTGACTTTTGAATTGGGCTCTGTGGATTTTGTTGAATGTGTTATCTGGCTGAGAGTCCAGGGAGCTGCATAGGCTTGAGGCCTCTGTAAGCCTTCAACTCCTGCAGCCTTGTTGAGGACAGTAGTTTAGAAGTTCCTGCCTTTAGGAAGTTTCTTGTGAGGCAGAAAAATTCTAAAAGCTTGAGATGGCAGGGGAAAGTTCTATTTATATAGTCTAGTCTTGTTGACAGGGTCTGGTAAGAAAAACTACAAAATACTTTTGTTCGGTGGAGATGGAAAAACTGGCCAGGAGCCTGATCTCGTGTAGTGATTTTGTTGACAAGTAGAAAAATTCATGTCAGGTGTAGTGGCACGCACCTTTTATCGCAGCACTCAGAAGGCAGAGGCAGGCAGATCTCTAAGTTTAAGGCCAGCCTGGTATACAGAGTGAATTCTAGGATAGCTAGGACTACACCAAGAAATCCAGTCAAAACAAAAACAAACAAACAACAACAAAAGCAAGTAGAAAAATTATCATGGCTCCGGGGGGACCAGAGAGCCAATGTGTAGCATACAAGTAGTCTCTTGTGTTTCCTCTGTGTATGCTAGCAACGGCTGTGATCTTAGAGATGAGCTTTGAGTTGTATCCCTTAGTTTCCTGAGAGCCCACTGTGGGCTCAAGCATGGCTCCAGGTGCTAAGATATTTAGATGACCAGACAAATTCCTGTTGGGAAGGGCTCAAGTTCTGGTGAATGGAGAATAATGTAAGGTCTAGAAGGTGGAGAGCTAGTGCTGAGAAAGGAGAAAGGAGCCCTGCTCAGGAATGGGAATGGGGAAGGTGTCTGTCTCTGAAATGATTTGCAGTTTTCTTTATACCTTACGACTCACAAGGATGGTGGCACATGTTTGTTTCATTTCCTCATTTCTCGTGGGTAATTCAAGAGGAAGATTTGTATATTTACTTAGGATCTGTTTCTTATAGCCTATTTCATTAGTGTTTTACAGTTATTTTTAGCTGTCCATCTTATTTATTTAATTTCACATGTTTTCCTAACTAAAATGAATGCACACCTTCCCCATTTTCCTGGCACCCATGCAGAGACTAGCTCACACATGGTGGTGCTGTTACGTCTTTATCACAACCTCTGTGTTCACCCTATGTGCTGCATTCTTGTTGCAAGCTTACACGGCTCTTTCCACAGTGTTGTCCCATTTCAAATTACCTGTGCAGGAACCTTTAATTTCTTGACTTAAAAAAAAAAGTTTAAAACTGTTCCTTTTCCTTTCTCCAGCAATTCTTCATCCCCAAATCACCAGGGAGATGGAGTTGCACAAGCATCTGGGGAGGTAAGCATCTTTCCCTAAAAGTGTTAAATACTGTTAAGTCCTACATTCTAAAGATTCTAATCATGTTGTGTGGGTTTGCTCACTCCTCAGCTGTGTTCTGACTTCAGATTTTAAGGCCCTTTGAGTTTTGCGTCCTTCGTGACTTGGGTTTTGTTTTTATTTGTTTTGGTTTTTGTTTTTAAGCTTAAAATGGTTTTGTCTATGGTCACTTTTTTTTTCTTCATTAATAGCAAATCCAGCCTTCAGCTACAACCCAGGAAACACAGCAGTGGCTGCTCAAAAACAGGTTCTCTTCCTACACAAGACTGTTTTCTAATTTTTCAGGTATGTATGTATATATATGTGTGTGCATGAGAATATTTTATTTGTATGTTTAACTAAGAATTTATCTCCCAGTTTTCTTCAGTTGTGACTCCCTGTTGAATTCCTTCCAAACAAGGAAATTAGCATTGTTGTAGTTCACTCACGGCAGATGTACTTAGTTCTATGGGGTATTTTCACTCTGTTCATGTCAAGATCATGTGTGTGCCTGTGTCTGTCTGTGCATGTGAGCCAGGTGTCTACAGACGCTGAAGTATCAAAGGCCCAGAAGCTGGGTTAGTGGCTGTGAGCTCCCCACCATGGGTGTCAGAACCTGAACCCTGGTCTGCCACAAGAGCAGCAGGCGCTTTTAACTGGTGAGCCGTCTCTCCAGCCCCAGTTGTACTTACTTGGAGATAAGTAAATCTTTATGGTAAATTGTAGTGACAGTTTGGAGATGATCCAGCACACATTTCACTCAGTGTCACAACAAAACTATAGTATTGCAACCAGAAGCCAATAGTGTCGTGGGTGTATAAATCTGTGCTGTAAGTGTAGATCTCTGCAGCTCCCGCTGCAGAGAAGATACAGATGTAGGGTGTCCCAGGGGCTCGCTCTGTCCCGCTGCCCCGTTCTAAGAGCATTCTTTGCCCTATCCACACACACACCTTTCCCGCATGCATTGAGCTGTCCTGCCTATGATTTGGTCACTCTGAGGATGTTAAACAAATGAAACTCTTCCTGTATGGCCCTTTGAATCTAGCCTTTTCCTCCTTGGCCTTGTGCTCTCAGGTCCACAAGGGTGCTCTGTGTCCTGTGCCTTTAACCTTTTCACCTAGAGCAGTATCTCATTTGTGTGGCTTTGCTCAAGTGTGGTTGTCATAGACAGCCTGCTCTTTGTCTGCACAGGAAACTAAAGGAACGCTGTGGTGAGACTAGGTGTCAAACAGCACTGCCTCGGGTAGTGTGGTTGTTTGGAGAGCATGCAAGAGGCAGGGGCAGTCTTCAAAATGTGCGTGGCTCTTGTCCCTTTTCCTGAAGTCCATTTGCTGTGTCCTGGCTAAACGTTCTGAGAAATGCTAGGCCATGAAGATGCAGCAGCTAGCACCCCTTTGCGTGTGCGTGGAGCCATTGGACCAGTTTGATGAGGGCAGACATGTGTGCCTATACCCAGCTGAAGGAAACAGTAGGACTTCTGTATGCTGCTTACTGTGTTGTTTGTGCATTGGGTAGTTATTCCTCATGTAGCTCCTGGACCCTGAAGTTAAAATACCATGTGGAAGTAAATTGCTAGCTGTCATCCACATATTTATGTGATTAAATAAAGCCTTTAATGTGTGAAAAACTAGAAATAACAGCATTCAAGATGAGGGGAAAGGATTTCATGAACCCTTATAGGAAAGTAGATAAAAAGCACAGCCCATAGAAAACCCCCTGGCAGCTGTGTGGTATGCAGAGCTGTGTGTGTTGTGTGGAGCTATAAGATTTTTCCCTGTGCATTGGTCACAGGACTTGGCGTTCTGCTTCCTCCTTAACCTGGGGGCTTTCTTTGGTTCATGCAGAGCTGCTCTTTGGCACATCACCTAAGCCATAGCACTTAGAGAATGGAGAGGACAGTGAGGTCTCTTACAGTCCGTCATGTGTCAGAAAGCTGTGATACACCGCCACCTGTCCCTTTATTTTCCTGGGTTACAGTTGTCACAACCAGGAACTCTGCTTCAGAGCTGTGTGTAATGACCCCAGTAGCTGAGAGAACCTTGTTCTCTGCTGTTTCGTTCCAAGAGAGACTTCACAGCGGCTCACATTGTGGGAGTCAGGCTTCTTAGATCTTCATTCTTTTAAGAAGTCATACCTTCATTCTGGAAGTATGGCTCTTGACTACTAAAGGAGTTAAAAACAAGATGTAGTGAACATATCCAGATGTAACAAAAGATATGGAATACGTGAAGGGCTTTCTGTGGCCACTCCCAAGTTAGCTGTGTCCCAGGGCTTGCTAACTCTCGTATCCACTTCTCCTTTACACACTGACTTTCTGTTGCTTTTAAGGCCAAGTACTTATGGAAGAGACCTTAAGTAACAGTGTGATTCTCTACTGTGCTTGCTTTCCTGTTAGAACTGAGCTGTAAGAGTCTTCACTTAACCTGGTCTCCACTTTGCTTCCCACTCACTGGTGGCTTTGGGCAAATTCTCCAGATGCTACAATTCCATTTCATGTTTTATGTTTTTTGTTGTTTTTTTTTTTTTTTTAAGGAGAAAGGTGGCAGGTCTTGGGGGGTGGGTGTTTCAGGGTTGGATCAGAAACATGGTTAGCCACAGTGCAGCAACAAAGGAAGAAAGACAGTATATAGAGGTCTTGTATTGTGAACACACAAGCCTTTGGGCACCTTGGTACCATAGCACACTGTTGCTCTGAGGGACAGATGTGGGCACCTGTGTTACTCGTGGGTGGGTGTGACTCAGGGCACCATTGCTGCTTAGGACAGAGCCATGTGAAGACAGCCCCATGAAACACCTGCTGTGTCCATCCCCTGCTTACTGGAGGATCTTTGCTCTTTTCCAGGTGCCGACTTATTAAAACTGACAAAGGAGGATTTAGTTCAGATTTGTGGTGCAGCCGATGGAATTCGGCTCTATAATTCCCTGAAGTCAAGGTAAAATACTATAGACTGTTCTGCAATTAATGAGAATGGACCTTTCTCTGCGTTGGGGGATTTGGTGGGCAGAATGTGTTTCCACGCTAGGTTGGCGTGTGCCTGTGTGCGCCACCGAGTACCGGCAGCATCGTGCTCACGAGAAGACTGTTTTGTGTACACCTTCAGGGCAGGCACTGATGAGGGCAGAGGTAGACTAAGACTGGTAGCAATGCACATGGGCAGGACTGATTTCTTGAAGACGACTGGGTTTGTTGCCAAGAAAACAAAACTTCTAATTTAGGTGAGCTCTACAGAATCTATGGTTTTCAAGGTCATGATTATTGTTAAGCAGTTATTAAATGTAAACTTGTAACTGTCAATTAGAATGCTAGAACTGTGACTGTGCTGGCTTTGAGACCTACTGCCTGCCATTACTATCTCTAGACGTGTGTGGTGAGAGTTCAGTAAACGCGAGCCTTACTGATTTCAAATTGCTTAATCAATGTTGAAACTTAAATTTACCAGCATCTGACAGACCATCTCAATGGTTTAGAGTCTGGACCTGTGGTAGTTGGTGTGAGGTGTGTGGTTTTTATATTTTTATTAGAAAATTATTTTGCATAATGAAATAATAACACTGTAAAGTTCTCATAAGGAAAAATAGACCTTAGATCCCTGTAGTTGTTGACTGTACATGTGTTAAGGCAACTTGTGCTCATGTCTCATTGATGGCATCTTCTGGTTACAGGTCGGTTAGGCCTCGCTTAACCATCTATGTCTGCCAGGAGCAGCCGAGTAGCACTGTGCTGCAAGGGCAGCCACAAGCTGCAGGCAGTGGAGGCGAGAACGGCAGTGGGACACCTTGCGGTGGGTACTGAGGTCGCTTCAGGTCCCTGTCCTTCCCACGATTGCCATCGGGAGCTGCTGCAGGGTTGACAGCAGTAGCTGTGGGCAAAGTCCTGGAAAAGGAGGAAGCTAGAACCTTGCTTAGTTCTCAGCCACCCGTGCTGTAGATCCTTTCATATGTATGGACTTATGCCTGAAATTCGCAGGAAGCAATACAATAGCCTGAACAGTCTGCAACCTTTCTGAATGAATGCACCATTGCCAGCTTGCTGGGGAAAGAAGGCTTTTCTTTCTTACCCATCTCACTGACTAGATGCAGGGAGGGGGTTCATCAGGCATGGGCAAAGAGGAGTCTATGTAGCAGTCTTCCCCCAGTGTAGACCCAGTGTGTCATTTAACCCCAGGTATGAGCTGTGACTTTTAAGATGGAGGACACAAATTCTTAAAGGAACCCTCTGTATCATTCCATCATATACATCATTCCCATTTTTTCCAGGAGTGGAGGTATACGTGGAGACACTGGCCTCCTTTATCCTTGACCATTCACATTTAGTGAACTTAAGACCAGGGAGTAAAACTTCAACCACAGGGGCTTTTCTGCACTGAGCTCTGCCATCAGAGCAGGTGAACAACAGCTTTGTTCCAGGCAGGAGAGATGGCTCAAAGGTTAAGAGCACTGGCTGCTCTTCCAAAGGTCCTGAGTTCAATTCCCAGCAACAATATGGTGGCTCACAGCTGTTTATAATGAGATCGGATGCCCTCTTCTGACCTGCAGGGATACATGCAGGCTGAACACTGTATATATAAAGTAAATCTTAAAAAAAAAAAAAAGCTTTGTCCCTGTTCCCACAAACAAAATTACTTCCACCTTGTCAAAAGATCCAGTGGACAGGAACTAGTCCCCAGACTTTGATATTGTAGTCTTTCAGAGTGACCTTTAAAGTGTGTAGTTAGTGAATGGCCCTGTACATGCAGCTGCTCATTTGGAAAGCTGACTTTTCAGTTTCCTGATTGCAGGTCCATGTCTGGCTTGAGTCAGTGGTTAAGCATTACCCGTTGAGTGACACCCAGATGTAACTGCTGCTGAGTTCGTCATGGACGGAAAGAACAGAGACTTTCCCTAAGGAAGAAACAGACTTCACTGTCTCTTTACTTTTCATGTAGCGTTGTCACCATTTCTTTTGATTTGGTGTGTATCTAGGAGGTGACACAGATTTTTACTCTTAAATCTTCAGTTGGAGAATTGCTGGTTCAAACTCCTAGTAAGAGGTCTTCTTATATATTATTAGAACACATTGTTCTTTCAAAAACAAAAACTCAGCTTGCTTGTGACATAATTTAGTTATCAGACTCCCCCACTGTGTCTGCAACATAACAAATTTAGCTCGTGCACATATTTTTTCATCCTTTGCCCCAGTCCATACCTTGATCCCTAATGCTTTCTTTTTTCTCCTTATACAGGGTTTTTCTTTGTAGCCCTGGCTGTCTGGCTTGCTCTGTAGACGAGGCTGGCCTCAAACTCAGAGATCCACCTGCCTCCCAAGCTCTGGAATTAAAGGAGTGTACCACCACGCCTAGCCAATGCTCTTTTTTAAACCCTCAATATATGAGACTTTGTTACAGAAAAATATAAACTCACATTGTTTGATTCAGAATTAATATTATCATGACCATAAATAATGTGTTTTTTACTACAAATAAGTGGGTAGAGTTTTTTGTTTTGTTTTTTGAGACAGGGTTTCTCTGTAGCGTTGGAACTAGCTCTTGTAGACCAGGCTGGTCTCGAACTCACAGAAATTTGCCTGCCTCTGCCTCCTGAGTGCTGGGATTAATGGTGTGTGCCACCACCACCTGGCTGTTAGTAGAAATCTTAAGAGGGCAAGAAAATGTTACCTTGTCCCTATTTCTGAGTTTTATTTCTAGGCACTTTGAAAAGTTGGACTGTATAGTTCAGATCAAACATTATTATTAAAGTGTTCGTTTTCTTTTTTCCAGTTTATCATGCAATCTACTTGGAAGAAATGGTTGCCTCAGAAGTTGCTCGAAAACTTGCCTCGGTGTTTAATATTCCTTTCCACCAAATTAACCAGGTTTACAGACAGGGCCCCACTGGTATCCACATTCTTGTTAGTGACCAGGTAAATCAAACAGGCAGTAGTCACTCTTTCTGTCACAGTGGCACTCATATATATTGCTGGAACTATAAGAAATCCTGCTGACCTCTTTTGTAAGTATTGATAGTCAATTTTTAAAGAGATGGGATCAAAATGTGTAAGTTTATAACCAGGAATTACAGCATCTTAGCAGACTGAGCTTCCCTGACCTTTTGGAATTTAGATACTTTCTGGGGCTCTAAGGTTAGTGTGAGGTGAGGCCTTAGATATGGTCTCCTTTTACACATTATTGGAAGAGCAGTCCTTTAAAAACATTGATATTACAAGTGCCCCCTGGTCAAGCTGTAGTTTTTCTACTATTACCTCTCATCAGGTAATAGTAGAAAAACAGTCTGCACAATCTTGAAAATCTAGAAAAAACAACCCTTTATACATCTGCTAGATAATTTCTATTAACAACACTAAGAATACTGTTCATTCGTGTTCCAACCTCTTAAAATTAGCAAAGACATCTTTTTCAGGAATGCTCACACACAGGTAGGTGGTAGTGCAGGCCCTGGAACAGCACGTGTCAGGATCGTGTAATTGTGTAAGAAAGCTTATGTTGTAGTCTGTTAGCTACAGATTGAACCATTTATGGCTAGTTAAGAAGGACGGGTGGGTCTCATATACTTACACATCTGCTTTATCCTTCTAGATGGTTCAGAACTTCCAAGACGAGAGTTGTTTTTTATTCTCCACAGTGAAAGGTACTATCCGTGTGTGCACTTCAGAATGTTATGGTCATGAAGGACAGCGTGTCCGATAGCAGCTCTCATGTGTGTGCATATCCTATTTTTTGTTTGCTTTTGTTTATTCCAGACAGGGTTTCTCTGGGTAGCCCTGGCTGTCCTGGAACTAGCTCTGAAGACTAGGCTGGCCTCCAAGGCATATGCCACTACCACCTAGCTATGTGTGAATATTCTTTAAAAAGATGTCTTTGCTAATATAAGAGGTTGGATGAACAGTGTTTTTAATAGAAATTATCTAACAGATGTAGAAAGGATTGGCTTTTCTAGATGACTGGCTGTGTATCCAAGACTGACTCTTAAGTGCTAGTGCCTGAATGAACAAGGGTAGTGGGAAAAGTCAGAATTGGCCATAGTCACAGAAACTGACTAGTAGTAGGTGCTGTGAAGAAATAAAGTGGGCTTATGGGAGAGGGGAAGCATGTTGCGAAGGCTTTTCTAAGGAGGTGATTTGAAAAATGAGCTGGCTTGGCCATAGGACTAGCCCAGGAGCAGTGTGGGACTGTGCAGAAGAAACACTTGGCTTCTGTGAATCCTGGAAGAAGGCCATGCAGCTGCCATGATGGGTGAGGATGAGCAGAGCAGGCCCTGGCACACGGTCATTGGATCTTATTTCAGATGGGTTGCGAAGTCGGTGAAGTGGTTTCAACAAAGGAATAGTGGGGTTGGGTTTTTTTCCTACAACTGTGGAGATAAACAAGATGGCAGTCCATCTAGACCAGAGGCCATGGGAGTACATGGACACACGGATAGGGCCCATTGGACTCCCTGTTTGATGAGGGAGTAGTTGTGACTACCAGGGCAGGTTGCCACCTTATCAAAGAGATAAGATTGATGCAAAACAACTTGGTATGTCAAACAGGCACCTAATTGTACCATTCTGAGGTGGCTTGAGGTACTAATTTAGAAATTTTCGGGTGTCAGTAGTGATTGAGATCTGGACAGGCTATGCAGAGCTAATTAGGCAGCAGTGTAGGAAGAGGAGAAGGCCAAGTCAAGTGAGCTCCAAACTACAGAGACACCACTCCCCCCAAGAAGAGGACACGGTCCCAAGTACCCCTTCCCTGGGTAGTCACTCTGCAAGGCAGCAGCCCCAAAGGGTTTTGAAATTACAGTTTTGCTTTGTACCTGATTGTAATAATGGCCACTAGCCACTAAACTACCTGCAGATCTGAGACAGTGAACTGGCTCACTTCTTAGACATCTTTAATTTCAAAACCATACAGCTTTTATCTTGTAAAATTACAAAAAACCCGTGTCTAACTCGCATACTTGTATCTTGTGAAACTAGTGGCTCTTTGTGGCATTGGTCTTCACGGGTCTCCTCTCCAGTCTTTGTTTGCTCTTTGCGAGACTGTGTCCACATGGAAACCTTCATCTGTTTCTATGAGTGCCTTCGCTGCCTCTCACGACTTTGAGGCCACTAGGCAAAGTCTTGCTCCGTGTCTGCCTCTGGGAGCTCAGTTTTCCAGGAAAGATGTGTCTACGGCAGAGCCCACGGGCTGCAATGCACGCTTTGTTTGTGTGGGGCTCTCTCACGCCCGTCCTCACACAGTCCAAGCCTGTTTCCTCTAGCACCAAAGGTATCTGCTGCTATCTCACAAGGTTCCCCGTAGGTCCCGCAAGCGGGGCAGGGGCTGGGGGCCCAGAGCAGAAAGGACTGCACATGGCGTTGTCTGAGGGAGACAGAGCTAGCACAAAGCAGTCGGTGTCTCATTAAAGCTGTACCCCTAACTTCTGAAGCAGACTGGACAGTTCTATCTTTAATACTGCTTCTTTTCTAAGTTTAGTTGGTCTTAAAACTTACTCTTTTTTTTTTTGGCAGCTGAAAATAATGATGGTATTCACATAATTTTGAAGTGATACCTTATGCAGACTGAACTCTGTCCAGTACCAAATAAAGTCATGCTTAAAAGTGTGTGAAGACTGAATCCAAGAAGTCTTGAGATTGGATTTTACTGTGAAATGTTTCATATTGAAAACACAAGATGACCTTCCTAATGAGCTGTAGGAGAGACAAATCTCCTCATTGTCACTGCCACAGCCCAGCGCCCTCACGAGAGCGAGCACATCAGTCGACATGTCGTCAGCTTCCGGCCATGGTGTGGGTACAGTACCCACTGTCCTAGCAGGAGCCAGCGGCGGAGTTCCCAGGAGGAGTCTCTCTGGCTTTTGACACTGTATGCGGTTTGAAATGAATGTAAAACTCAACCGTGGGCATTTACCTTTCTGTGCCAGTTTGGCTTTTGTTGCCTGACCCTTCTGCTGACCTGGAGGAGATAGGGTGTGTTCTCGTTGGGGAGCTGCGCTGACAGCAGCGTTGGTCAGGTAAGGGGCTGAGCACCTCCGCAGAGGCAATCATGTCTGAAGGTGTACATCCCAGGGGATCATGCCAGACCAGGGAAGAGCCAAGCAGAGATGAGCAAACTATCAGCAGTACCTTGGTGTGAGGTCAGTGTAAACCCTAATAGGTACAAAAAGACTTGAGTGTTTGGCTTTTGCTTCCATTTTTAGCATTTTAATTTCCAAATTTCACCTTTTGAAACCTCCTTGCCTTTTAAACTCATGTGGTTTCCTTTTCTCACCTCCCCCTGTCCTCCAGCCTCCTAGTAGCTGGGACTCCAGGTGTGTACTCGCTTGTTTTGTGCCTGGCTCTGTTGTTAAACATGTTTAAAGCCCTTCCCCAGACATTAGAACTAGGTGATGTAACGGGGGAAACAAAGTGTTATTGTTGATAGCTTCTCACTTGGTGTTTGAATGAGATGAAAGTACCCATGGAAACACTAGATGTCACAACAAGACACTAAAATGTACCATTACCCTTTCCTCCCCTCCCATGCTGAGTTTCAATACAATCATGGCTGTACACTCTGGTGATTAGTCGGGCTATTAGGGTGTTCTGTAACAGATGTGCCTCTACAGGGTCACATGCTCGCACGCCGCTCTCCAAGGGGATCTGCAGCTTTCCCTCCCGCCACTGTCATTACTCCCTCACCATCTCTCCAGCGTTCAGCAAACTTTTCATGAGGCCTGTGGCAGATCTGAGTTTTACAAAGCTTTTTCCATTTTAATTATGTAGCATCTCTGCCCGTTTGCTCAGCTACTGACTGTGAGTGTCTGACCTTGTTCAGGTGGGCAGGAATGACTGCTTCAGGGGGTGAAGGCTTTAACATCCTGCGTTGTAGTCATAATGGGGGTTAATTATTTGCCACAAACGCTAACCTCTGTTTCAATATTTTCACCTTGGGCTTGGCAGTGCTGTAGCTCTGCAGGCCCTTTAGGAGGGGCCCATGCCCGTCTGTCCTTCCCTTTGCTTTTGTGAGACCACATGCTTTCTGTACCAGTCACTTACTTGGAAAGAAGTGAATTTATCTAATTGTTTTTAGAGTTTTGCTTGTCTGTTAGCTTCCTTTTTTGGATCTCATGATTTATGGAACAATAAATGTCATCTAATGCTGTGTGCTATTTTGAATTCCTTATCAGGTTTTAGAAGTGGGGTGAGAGTACTTACAAGCTCCTCAGACTTGAAATTGTGCTGAGCAGGACATAGTGAAACTGTGCAGAACCCACAGCACCAGCAGTTTGCTACTTTGGTTAATAGGATGTACAGTTCGGTCTAATAAATGTTTTCTGATTGTTTTGTAAATGTGTCACTCATTTAAAATCTTAGTTGTGTCACTGTCATTTCAGGTCACACGGAATCAGGGGCTTCCCTGGGTGTGTCCTAGATACCTTAGTGAACATACACTATAAGAAATTCACCCCCTGTGGGCTGTCCCTGCCCTCTCTTTTCCATCAATTTCCACAACGATGCAACTCAAGACAGGCAATTATAGGAACTTGTCCATACTTACAGAAGACAAGTCAAGCTTTCTGACATGAGGTTCTTCTAGTCTGTGAGGCAAGTTATGGTCACTGAGCATCAAGTTCAGCATCTATGATGGGCTGTATTCCATCTCAAAAATGTATGGATAATGTGTGGTTGTCTCTGGTATCTAATAGAAATGAGTTCATCAATCACTGGAGCAAGTGTAGTACATGCTCCGTACCCCCCCAGTTTAGATAATAGCTGCTGTGATGTCCACATGGCCTTCAAACCAGGGAATACTGCAACAGGTCAAGAGGCAGTCGGGCCCACAGCAGCTAACGCTTACAAGGATTCTCCTGGTGGATTCCAGGCTGTGTGTGCACCTGTTCCCTCTGAGAACGCAGCTGCGACAGTGTGGACAGATGCCTTAGCCCGGGCCACAGACACACAAACACAGCTCATTCTTGCCATTTCGGCTGGGGAGTCATTGCTAGGGAGGTTCAGCTCCATTAACCCCAGTGTGGCTACACTCACTGAAGGCGGTGGGAAACGTTGATGGCAGTAAGAGACTGGGCCTCCTGCCTCTGTGCAGGTGAGAGAGAAAAGCCTACATTTGCCAGCCAGCCAGAGCGTCACATCAGTAAAGCCTCTGAATAATTCCAGTGAGCACTTGTTAGGAGTTTAAAAGGTGCCAACACTTTACTCGTTTTTCATGTGTGAAGCTTTAATATAGTTCTGGCGTGATCTCTAAAAATTCAGAGTAAATTTGAAAAAAAATACATCCATTCTACATGCACCCATTCATTATTTTTACTTGATTACATTATAGATAACTTAATTCTGGATTTCTTCTTGGTTCTCCCGAATTTGAAAAGTGTAGACATAATTGGCTTTTTTCCTTTAGCAAAAATGCACTATATGCTGTAGCCTATGGCAGGCTTATTTCCAATGGGGCAATGCAAAGTAGGCTGCTTTTGTCTAACTTTTGGTCCCTAGAGTTGGGTGTAACACGTTCAATCAACAGAAAGGTGACAGTCCTGCCCACCCAGCTTAGAGTCCTCATTTCTTTGGTGTCTTACGGAAATGTGTTAACGTGCCTTTCCCACAGGTTTCTGCATGGGAAACTACCAGCCATTCTGAGTTTGCAGTACACTCACATCGACAAAGGTGCTTTTAGTCTTCAGAGTGAAGAAGTCCTGCAAATCAGTAGGAAGCATGGATTAAAGTAGGCCACTGGCTAAGGATCTAGAAAAGCACGGCTCTCTGCTCAGCTTGGGTTGTGCTAACACTGAAGTTCTATGCAGGTTGCTGACAAAGCCGGGTGGGGCTGGTGTGCCTGGTATGGTACCCACCTCTGAAGGGCTCCGGGCTCCTTGTGTGGTCTTGGCTGCACCGCGTCACTCTTGCCACATGGTAACTACACAGGCTGTGATTGGCTTGCACCCCAGCAAGGTTAGGGTGAATGGCATCACCAGTTACTGCCATCTGTGCTGAAGTCATTACCTGCAATGCTTTCCCAATGCAGACTTGAGATTGAGTGATGGTGGCGCAGACTGGTCTAACCTGGAGGGTGGGGCCCTTGTCCTAAGAGGCTGCTGTCAAAGTATGACACAGCACCTGCACAGTCGATGTCCACTTCCTGCCACTGCTGGTGGAGGGGTGACTGGAGCAAAGTAGGCATGAACTTTGACATGAGGAAGCTGAGCCTGGAAGGAGATGGAAAGGGGAATAGTCTGCCCTGGTATTAATTAGGGTTTTTATATAAACTTTAAAAACCTGAAGTCCGTTTAAAGTTGACTACCTTAACATTAGGACGGTGGAATGCTGTAAGCTGGAACTCCTGTTACATCCCCTCATATCCCCAAAGTCTAGCACCTTCTAAAGACAAATGGCAGCATTTCTCTCCAGTGGCATTTGTAAACAGCCCCTATACACTTAAACAATCAGTGACCATTGGTTGCTTTCCTTAGATGGGAGCTTGTGAAGGTGCCAATCACCAGGCTACATGGAGCCTCCACCTCCAAGAGTAGACGTTTGAAGAAGCCTAAGGTAGTGCTGTGTAACCAGACAAGTCTGTGTCAGCACAGCACACTAAAGAAATGTTGAGGTTTTTCTAAGTGCGCTGTGTGCACTAGTACGAGTACATGCCACCGCATGTTATGTGGAGGTCAGAAAACATTCAGGGATTGCTTCTAGTCTACTTTGTGTCTTGGAGTTGAGCTCAGGAAGACAGGCTTGGCACGAGCACCGTCGCCTGCGGCTCTCACCGGCCTGGGTGCTGATCTGAGTCCCCTCAGTTGCTGGGGGGTTCACACCTACCCGCATGCGCTTGATGCCTGCCCGGGTGACCTGCTGGCAGTCGTACAGCTCCAGTCGCTCTAGGCCTCGGCAGTTCTCCAGGTGCTCCAGCGCGGCGTCCGTGACGAGGAGGCAGTTGTCCAGCTCCAGCACCCGCAGTCTCTCGTGCCCACACGTGCTGCTGCTCAAGTGGAGAATCCCTTCATCCGTGATGAGCTCGCAGTGCGACAAACTCTGGGGAGGGGACGAAGACGTTCCTTCAGGGGACCCTCGTTCCAGGCTCCAGCGAGTAAGAGCTGGGGAGCTGGCTCCGGAAGTGCCCCAGAGAGACTGCTTGCTGTGGTATGATGTGTGATGTGCCCTTTGCAGAGCACGTGGCATGTGCTGGGGACGGCCACCTTCAGGAATGAATGGAATCTACTTCGTCAGATTGACAGCCTGCTTCGATCCCCCAGCATCCAGTACTGCAGGGAACACTAAGTCTGGGATTTTCTGTAAGACCATGACACTGTTTCCTTGGCCAGAGAGGAGCTAGCAAGGCCCTGGGTTTGCTGTGCCCACGACATAACGCTAACTCTAACCAGAGACCCTGAGTGTGGTTCTCAGAACCATGTAAGGTAGCTACAGGAGGACCCACTGCCTCTGGCTTCCAGAAGCGCCTGCAGTCACATTCACTTACCCTAGTACAGACAATGCACACAGCTGAGACCCTGACCACCCTTAGCCACGCATCAATTCAACTCTTGGAAGTGGTAATAAAGGTTACAGAAGTAATGGACAGCTTACACAGCCAAGTTTACTTAGTAGCCGGATGGGACAGTTTCTCCACTGTGAAAACAGAAAATCCACACCAACATAGAAGTTCTTTAGAGGGGAAAAGGAACAGAGTGGCTGAGAGCGACTGAGGCTCACCCTGAGGAAGAGGCTAGAATAATGTCTGAGGTGTTGTGGCTGAGCAGCAATGGGCAGAGCATGCAGGCCCCAGCAGGTGGAGAAGAATGTCAGGCTCAGAGTTTAGCAGGGAATAGAGGGTGTCCCCAGGTGGAGAAGCGGGTAAGCATGGGGCGTGCAGACCATGTGAGCCATTGCCTGACACAAGTGGTAGCTGGTTCTTTCCTATCCCATTTGGGTCAAGCTCGGCAGCGAACACCATTCCTCACTGAGCCAGCTACCACTGGGTTTTGATTCAGGGTCACTGGGAAGACATTACACTTCTCAGCGAGCTCATGGCATAGAATCCTGTTAATTCTTTAAATGGTAGGAAGAATTCTAAACAAATCCATTTGTGCATGAACATTTAGGGAAATTATAGATTGTAAGTGAATTTCCTTAAGAGGAGTTTTGGGGTTATTTTGCATCAAATGAGTTATTTGTCCATTTTACCTGTGTTACAAAATTTATGTAGGTGAGTGCATCCATAACTTGGAATTCTCCAGAATCTAAGAATGTTTGAGTATCAACGCAGTACCACAAATAGGAAACCCACAACTGACCTTGTGAGGCAGGCCACAGTCAAACACAGTGCAGTAGCAAGACAGAAATGAATTTGTGTTTACATCTTGGCCCTAATACCAAGCACTTGGTTGAATAAATGTGTATGATAAGTGTGTAATGAAACATTCTGGAAGTCCAAACACCTCTGTCCCAAACATTTTGGGTAAGGGACGCTCAGTCTGGGCAGATCTGGTGACAGCCCGACCTGAGGGTCTGTTTACAAAGCAACAGACTGTGTTGCTATGTGACTGCTGTCCTGTTTTGTTTTCAGTTTCACTGGTCTCTACCATGTTATGTCCTTTTAATTTGGACTTTATTTTACTGTTTTCTGGCTTCTTGTAGTTGGAAAATTTAAATCGTTGGGCCTTTCTCAAATGCAAGCATTGGTGTTGGAGTCTGGAGTGCTGTCTGTGGTCTGATCAGCTTGAACCTGCAGGAACGTTTTAGCAATATTGTGATTGTGGTGCTGTGACTCACATCTGCTCCCGCTCACTAAGGCCCTAAGCTACCCCTCGTTCTTTGTCTTCAAGCTGTTCTCACTTGCTAAGAGTGAGCCATCTCTGTTTTGGGGTCATCCACTGAATTTTGTTCTTAATTTTCCGAACAGTATGTACTGAATCTATTCATGGAAGTCCAGATCGTTCTGTGTATCCAAGAGGCTCTGATGTCTTATTTACATCTCTTTGCTGTTGTCAACATGCAGTGGCCAAGTCCCCATTCCCAGTCTGGTCAGATGCCTATGGAGCAGGTGCCTTGTTACTGCCTCTGCTAGGTGACTAGGAAAGGCAAAGCTATCAGGAGCACGACCCAATCTTTGGTTCATGTAACGGCATTTCCCACGCTGACTGATCTCCCTGAGGTGAAGTGATGGGCTGTGGGTTCCTAACCGTTTCACCTCCTACGGTGGAAGCCGTGACACCCAGATACTCCACAGCCCGAGTTAGCCCAACAAGGAGATCTTTGAGACCAACAGCGACAGTGGCATTTACAGGAAATGGACCCAACGTGGCCCTCAAAGACATGCACAAGTCATTCCTGTGAGCAGTAACTCACTCACCAGGGCTTGGAGCTTGGGACAGTGGATGGATAGCTGGATGAGGGTGCTGTCAGTGATCTGGAGAGAAACAGGCTGTCAGTGTGGCTTCTAGGCCAGGACCTGACACCTAATCCTGGCTGCTCCTCAACATGGGGATCAGATGGCACAAAAGAAAACTGAAACCTCATCCAAGCACACTGGCTCGCTGTCACCTCCTGGAGGCACACTGATGTTTGCCCTGCTTCTGGTGCCTGAGGAAGCTGAGGGACAGGACACAAAAGCAGGGGGACAAGGAGGTTCCTCCCTATCACCTAAAATGCAGGCTCGTTCCTCTCACAGGCTGTGAGCCTAGCCTTTAACGGCTGAGCCATCTCTCCAGCCCCCTCTCACAGGCTAGGAGTAAAAAGGGAGTCCTCCTTATGCTTGGGATGGCTGGGCTCTCTCGCATGTCTCTGCTACTGTCTGTCTGAAGTTCTGGACCAGCCAAATATAAGTCCCGTGACAAGTGGCCTAAAGAGGCCCAATCCCCACCACCATGCTGGGGCAATGGTAGCCCGTGCTTGCTGCTATGCAAGGCTCCAGCAGCGAGAGAGCAGCTCTAAGGGGCTGCTACAAGTCCACTCACCAGGACGCACTCTTCAAGATCCATCTTCTCCAGGTCATGGCAATTCTGAAAGAGGCCACAGACGCCCTGCTACATGAGCCACATGAGGAGTAGCTCACCTGTCCACTGAGGAGCAGGCCCAACCTCTACAGCCATCAGAGCACTGTGCTCTGAGTCAGCGCCCAACCTCTACAGCCATCAGAGCACTGTGCTCTGAGTCAGTGCTCACTTTGGGCAATGGCTGTGGCTACTGAGAACCAAACCATCTCTCAACCCAGGGGGTGATGTACCTTTCTACTCCACAGGCTCAAAGAGGGCCTGGAAATGGAGGCTGTGTCCTGTGGGAGGTAAGGGCACGGGTACCACAGGCAAGGCGCAGGGTTCACATAGAAAGGGTGCCTGCCACTAAGAGAAGGGAGGGGCAGCGAGTGAGGCCTGAACTCCTTCCAGATGCTCTGACAGCATGTCCAAACTGCAGCCTGGGGGCCGCCCGTGCCTGAGGAGACCTATGAATGTGGCCCAACATTTTTTCTGAGTTGCACAGTTCTTATGAACTTTGAAAGTGGCAGTGCTATGTTCAAAAGCTGGACTCACCTTCCAGGATCTCCCCAGAGTCCTGGCCAGCAGGAAAAAGTGCAAAGCCTACTGAAGGGTTCTATCCTACCTCGTGTTCATCTCTTCTGAAGCTAGGTTTTTCATTTCTTTGTGCTCCCCAAAACTACCTGAGTCACTCTGAATGGGGGGAGGGGCGCTTTACAACAGTGTTGTGTTTCAGACTCAATGCCTTACCCGAGCTAGGAGTGTAAAGCCTGCATCCGTCAAATGGGAGCATCGGGCAGCCTCCAAAATTCTGGGAAGGGCACGAGGGGAGAAGAAGCAGAGCCTGGTTAGCCACAGAACACACCGCATGACGCACACTCTCCAGTCTGCTCTATTCTGCGGCTCACTGAGCTGCTTTCTGGTCATGTCCTGCAGGGGTCATGCAAACACAGCCAATCAGGACAGCTGAGTGGCACTAGGACAGGTGGACTGAACCAGAGTCCTAATGTCTCATCACAGATGTGGATTGTGACCCAGGAGCCTGCCCACCACTGTTTTTAAAAACACAGTTAAAGCCGGGCATTGGTGGCGCACGCCTTTAATCCCAGCACTCAGGAGGCAGAGGCAGGCGGATCTCTATGAGTTCGAGGCCAGCCTGGTCTGCAGAGTGAGTTCCAGGTCAGCATCCAAAACAATACAGAGAAACCCTTGAAAAAAAAACCCACAGTTAAAATGGACTATTGCTAAACAAAATCATCTTGAGATCTACACTATTTCTTTTCTGGTGTTGGGGGTTGAACTAAGGGCCTCATGTGTACTAGGCAAGTGCTCTCCCGCCAAGTTATGTCTTCAGCCTCTAGATACTAAAATGTCTCGTTGCCCTCCAGGAAGTTTAAACTATAGGCAATGAAAAAACGAGTTAATTCTCATAAGAATTGAAACAAGAGCCATGTGATGGTGGCACACATCTTCAAATCACAGCACTCGGGAGGCAGAGGCAGGCGGATCTCAAGAGGTGGAGGCCAGTATGGTTTACAGAGCGAGTTCCAGGACAGCCAGGACTACACAGAAAAAAGTTGTCTCAAAAAGCAAAGCAAGTTGCCGGGTGGTGGTGGTGCACGCCTTTAACCCCAGCACTCGGGAGGCAGAGGCAGGCAGATCTCTGTGAGTTCGAGGCTGGGCTGGACTGATAGCCTCCGACAATACAGTGAAACCCTGTCTCGTAAAAACCAAAAAAAAAAAAAAAAAAAAAAAAAAGCAAAGCAAGTCAAAACAAAACAAAAACCTGGTTTTGAAATAGAAATCTACAGGTTCATAATCTTGCTTCCCTCCTTATCCATTATGAGGTGTGGACAAACTGACTTTCCTATGGGACTCAGTTTCTCCTGAAAGTGAGTGTCCACTCACAGGGATGAGTTAACTCAGGGTGGAGTGAGTGTCCACTCACAGAGGTGAGTTAACTCAGGGTGACACAGGCGTACTGAGAGCAGCTACTCTCAAGGCACCAAGCTCGTGTGTGTGCAGAGTGAGGTGTTTGGCGGTGGGCAGGCTCTGCCTTGGGAACTAGCCCTTTTCCCGATAATCAGGAAGATGACAGGCAGGCAGCTGACACTTTCCTGGAGTTCACCCATCTAGTGACTGGTGCCCCAGACCCACCACTAGTCCGTCCACTGTGAGACCACTCTGATTGCCAAATTTGCCCATAATTTGACTCATGCATGAAACAGACCAAGAAACATGGTAAGAGACATCGTGCCACACACCCATCCTCCCCTGCTGGGGTCAGGTGCTGTCTTACCCCAGCCCAACAGCCCCTGGCTCTACCACACCTCAGGCAGCCTAGCCCTGCAGCCACAGAGCAGAAGTGGGCCATACTCACTGCAGTCTGGGGCAGTTCAGGCCCAGGGCCGTGAGAGATGCGTCTGTGAGGTTGCTGCAGCCCGAGAGGCACAAAGCCTGCAGCCAGCGGCAGCCCCTGCAGATCTGCACCACGCCATCGTCGGTAATGCGCTGGAAGAAGAGACAGGAGCTGGGCCCGGCCTGACCCGGGGTCAGAGAAGGAGCTGCTGCTGCCCACCAGCGCCTCACCCCCACACCCAAACAAAGCAGAAGCAGGCTGGGCGTGGCAGCACTCGGCCCTAGTCCTGGCACTTAGAAGGCTGAGGCAGGAGGATCGGGCCAGTCCTAACCCATCCTGGACTACATAAGTGAAACTACAAAAAAATAAAAAAGGAAAGGAGACAGACAGACAGACAGAAATGCAGCTAGGTGTGGTGGCGCACACCTTTGATCTCAGCACTTAGATCTCTGTGAGTCTAGAGTTAGTCTGGTCTACAGAGTGAGTTCCAGGTCAGGCAAGGAACTCAAACTTTCCAAAACAAAGGTAATAGATGCCGGGTGGTGGTGGCGCACATCTTTAATCCCAGCACTCGGGAGACAGAGGCAGGTGGATCGCTGTGAGTTCGAGGCTGGGCTAGACCGACAGCCTCGAAAACAATACAGAGAAACCCTGTCTCATAAAAAAAAAAAAACAAAAAAAAACAAAGGTAATAGTTAAGTCTGGGCTAAGAGTAGGTTGGTAGGTGCCTGCCTGGCATGCAAGAGGCTCTCCCTCCCTGAGTTCAATCCCAGTCCTACTCAACAGACGAGCAGAGAGAGGCTTCTGCACAGCTATAAAATAGCCTAGTGTTGGTGGCGCACGCCTTTAATCCCAGCACTCTGGAGGCAGAGGCAGGCAGATCTCTGAGTTCGAGACTAGCCTGATGTACGGAGTGAGTTCCAGGACAGCCTCCAAAACCAGAGAGAAACCCTGTCTCAAAAAACCAAAAAAAAAAAAAAAAAAAAAAAAAGCAAAAAAGCTGAATGCAAGGTCTTTCTCTTATATTTCTCAAAAACCTAGTTCCCTTGGGTCACGCAGCAGCATGAGTGCACAGCCACGTAATGTGAGTGAGGAAAACTGGTAGTCCTTCCGAAGCTAATGCCTAGAGAAGAAAGCTGCTTTCTCTTGCACTCACAGTTTACAACATTGTTGCAAGTGTGCATTCATGTGTGTGTGCATTCATGTGTGTGTGCAGGCATGTATGGGTGCAGGCATGTATGTGTGTGCAGGCATGTATTTGTGCATTCATGTGTGTGTGCAGGCATGTGTGTGCAGGCATGTGTGTGCAGGCATGTATATGTGCAGGTATGTGTGTGTGCAGGCATGTGTGTGCAGGCATGTGTGTGCAGGCATGTGTGTGTGCAGGCATGTGTGTGTGCAGGCATGTGTGTGTGCAGGCATGTGTGTGTGCAGGCATGTGTATGTGCAGGCATGTGTGTGCATGCATGTATATGTGCATTCATGTGTGTGTGCAGGCATGTGTATGTGCAGGCATGTGTATGTGCAGGCATGTGTGTGCATTCATGTGTGTGCATGCATGTATATGTGCATTCATGTGTGTGTGCAGGCATGTGTTTGCAGGCATGTGTGTGCAGGCATGTGTGTGCATTCATGTGTGTGCATGCATGTATATGTGCATTCATGTATGTGTGCAGGCATGTGTGTGCAGGCATGTGTGTGTGCAGGCATGTGTGTGCAGGCATGTGTGTGTGCAGGCATGTGTGTGTGCAGGCATGTGTGTGTGCAGGCATGTGTATGTGCAGGCATGTGGGTGCAGGCATGTGTGTGCAGGCATGTGTGTGTGCAGGCATGTGTATGTGCAGGCATGTGGGTGCAGGCATGTGTGTGCAGGCATGTGTGTGCATGCATGTGTGTGCATGCATGTGTGTGCGCATGCATGTGTGTGTGCATTCATGTGTGTGTGCGGGCATGTGTGTGTGCTGGCATGTGTGTGTGCGGGCATGTGTGTGTGCGGGCATGTGTGTGCGGGCATGTGTGTGCGGGCATGTGTGTGCGGGCATGTGTGTGCGGGCATGTGTGTGCAGGCATGTGTGTGCAGGCATGTGTGTGTGCAGGCATGTGTGTGCAGGCATGTGTGTGTGCAGGCATGTGTGTGTGCAGGCATGTGTGTGTGCGGGCATGTGTGTGTGCGGGCATGTGTGTGCGGGCATGTGTGTGCGGGCATGTGTGTGCGGGCATGTGTGTGCGGGCATGTGTGTGCGGGCATGTGTGTGCGGGCATGTGTGTGCGGGCATGTGTGTGTGCAGGCATGTGTGTGTGCAGGCATGTGTGTGTGCAGGCATGTGTGTGTGCACCATCTCAGGTGTCATTCTTCAGGTGCTAGCTGTGTTCTTTTTTGAGACACACTCTGTGACTGGATCAGAACTCACCAAGTGGAGGAGGCTGGCTGGCCAGCAAGCTGGAGGAATCTTGCTGCCTCTGCTTCCCCTGTGCTGGGGTTCTAAGAACATGCTGCCATGTTCAGCTTTTTTACGCAGGATCTAGGGATGAGGCTCAGGTCCTTGTGCTTACAAAGCCAGCACTCAACTGACTGGGTGCTCTCCGCAGCCCGGTGGGGAGCTAAAGGGGTCATCATCCCGGCGTGTTGAAAGAAAGGAGATACTGAGATCTCACCAAGCTGTTCAGGTCTAACGGCTAGCTAGTTATAGCATTCCTGATTGTTTGTCTGCTTGTTTGTTTTGAAAGAGCCAGCCAGGCATACTGGTCCACACATGTAATCCCAGCTTTCAATATACAAGACATGAGAATTGTGAGCCTCAGGCTAGCCTGGGCTATGCAATGAGACCCCTTCTCTCTCTCTCATATGTATGTAAGTCATACATGCTCACACACATGAGCAGGTACATGACCACAGGTGTAGAAGCTAACATCAGGACTGATGTATGTGATTGGGGGAGGCGCCATCGGTCTTGCGCTGACATTGCTGCCTTATTACTGTCTCTCACCTCCCAAAGACTCACAGCTCCAAGGAAGACAGGAGGAGGCGGCAGGGCAGGGTGATGTGGCCATCTGCCGTCCATTTTGGGCAGGTGTGGGCAGACAACGGGGCTGCGTGCGGGTGCTGTGGGCGCTCACGGGTGCCCGGGTCCGTACTTACTGAGCAGGACTGCAGGTTGAGGCTCACGAGCTCGTGGCAGTGGTTCTGAATGTGTTTCAGAGCTTCATCCTCTAGCTGAGCGGACGGAGGGAAGGAAAGAGGGTGGGATCCAGGTGAGAGAGCGGGTCGGGTACCAAGGTGACGGCCCCAGCAAGGCAAACAAGCTGACCAGGTGCGCCGCCTCTGTACCTGTGTGCAACCCCTCAGGAGCAGGGCTCTCAGGCCCCGGCACCCCCGCACCAGCGCCTCGATGCCGTCCTTTGTGATCTGGTCACACCAGGAGAGGTTCAGATACTCCAGGTTCCGGCAGCCATCGCTGAGAGAACAAAGAACAGCCCCCTGTGCAGCCTCCTGAAGACAGTGCTGAACTCAGTACCCCACAAACGTGTCGTGTAAGTGCACATATGTGTGGGTGCGTGTCGTGTGTGGCCACAAGTGGACTCTGGGTGTCTTCCTCACCACCTTTTAGAAGATGGGCCGGTTGTAACGCACTCACAGAGCATGACACAGCTAGACTGAGTGACCCTGCTCACGCTATACATCTCAGCGAACCTTTGTGCAGTTAGAAGGGCCGGTCTGAAGCCACGGAGTTACAATCAGTACTAATTACAATTTTATGTACTTACCATCACAAAAAGAAAAAACGATAGAATTGAAAATAGGAAACAATTAGCTTTAGATCCTCTTTTTAATCTTAAAGTGTGGGGGGGGTGCCTGTGACTGTAGTTGGTCATCATACCCCCTGGATCTGGAGTTACAGTCAACTGTGAGCCCCAGGAACTTGGTTCCTTTGCAAGAAAAGTATGTGCTCTAACCACTGAGCCCTCTCCCCAAGCCCCTAGCTTCGTATCCTCTCTCATGGTCCACGTGTCCCTTTTCCTGCATTCCACTCCTGTCACACAGGGTCTCCCACTCAATCGGATGCAGCTCCTAAACTCCCTAGGCTGGCCGGCCAGTAAGCCCGAGAGACTCCCCGCCTCCCCCCCAGGGCTGTGGCCACAGGCAGGCGCCACCATTCCTGGCTAATTACACGGATTCTGGAGAGTGGGACTTGGGTCTTCATGGCCTTACAGGCTGCGCCACCTACCCAGCCCACACAGTTGTTTCTCTTGACCCTAACTGCCGAGCCCGCTCACCTGATCCCCTTTAAGGAGCTGTTGGTAACGGACACGCAGGACGTGAGGTCCAGGTGTTTCAGCTTGGAGCAGAATCTGCTGAGGCTGTAGCACGTGCTGGAAAAGGCAGGCACACTAGTGTTCTCAACCCTGTTTCCCACCGGCCTCCCTGTGGCCACTCTGTCCCCGGACCCATCTTTATCCCTCACCTGTCAGTGATTTTTGTGCAGCCATTGAGGTTTAAGTGTTCAATGTTCCGGCAGTTCTGTGCAAAGGTCCTAAAAGGTGGAGGGGACAAAAGTTGTGTGTTTTGTTTTGGTTTTTTTTTTCCCCCAAAGTAGCACAAAATCTTTGAAGTGATGCACTGCAAGAGACCAAAGGCCACAGGGTGGCTGCAATCTTCAGGATGGCCACCAGAGGGCGGCACAACCATCCACTTAGAACGGCGCTTTCTGAATCCTCCTAAACACACATCAACTAAGGCCACACACTCCACAGCAGATCCAGGGTTCCGGAACCCGGGACGCTCTCAGGCACTGCCTGTGGCTAGCCTGTCCCAAGCTGCCCATCAATTGACCCTCCTCCAGCCCCCCACATTGGGGACCATCTGAGCTGGGAGGCCTGGCATCCTGATTGTGCCCTGGGGGCACTCTGACACTCAGTACCATTCCTATCAAGAGCCAAGCTTTCTGACAAGGACCCCAAGGCATGAAGGCAGCTGCCTCGACTGTGTGTGACAGCAAGGCCGGGAGCAGTTAACTACAAACCACTGCCACTCCGTGCCTGAATGTTCTCAGGCAACCTGCATCTTCCTCAAATAAGACTTCAGCAAGTCTCAGAGGATCAAGAGCTGCCTGAACCCTGAACCCTCTGCTCACTCTGAGGGATGGAACCAAACGCTGGAATCCAAGAGTCCACAGTGCTCAGAGCGCGTGTGGAATAGAATGCCAGCAGCTGCCGTGTGGGACCCTGACACTTACACACGAGGAACCACCAAGGCTGGGGCAGAATCGGCTGGAAGGACGAGACTGGAAGCCCGCCAAGGCCCCTTGGCTACAGAGGCTGCTTCCACCTGCGAAACTTGGAAATCTGTCACGGATTCTGGGATTGGGTAGCAAGAAGATTCAGGAATGCAGAAATAGACTAAATGAAATGCCAATCTGCCCAACCTAACGGTCTTTTACTTTAATTAATTAGTGGGGAGGGGGCTGAAAAGATGACCCGGTGGCTATGAGCACTGGCGGCTCTTGCAGAGGACCTGGGTTTGGATCCCAGCACCCACAGGCTGTACACAACCATTCATAGCTGCTGTTCCAGGGAGCCCAGGGCCCTCTTGTGGCCTCTGCAGGTACTGTGTGCATGTGGCGCGCATGCCAACACCTTACACACAGAGTACAAATGTTAAAGTCTAATTGACTCACGGACGGACTGACTGATTTTCGTGGGTGCTGGGATCATGGGCCTCCTACGTGCTGCACGAGCATTCTGCCGTTCTGCACCCTGCCATCCCCAAGCCTCACAAAGGATATGATCCAAAAAAGAACAGTAAAAACAATGCAGATGCAGTCTAGACTTCAACTCCACAGAGCATTTATAGGAACAAAAACTGTTCCGCACGCACACAACATGCCCGCCACCGGGCAGAACCCTGCGTGCTGTCAACATCAGAGAAACTACGTCTGCAAGGAACAGAGGACTCTTCTAGCCAAGTCTGCTCAAGACTGACGGCAAAGAGAGCGGGCAAGGGCCCTGACAGTGCTGTCCGCTTTACCCAGAATGCTGTGCAGCCACAGTGCCGAGTGAAGGCGTTTCGTGGAGACGCAGAGGTTTTGTTCGTTTGAGAAGACATGTTAAACGTGACTATGATGGAAATGTACTGATGGTTAATGACAAACTGGACACGGTGGGCAGGAGACAGATGAGTCAGTCTGCAAAGAGCAAGGGCGGGCACGCGCTGGGGCAGGGTTTGCCTAGTGTGTGCAAGGCTCTGGGTGTGATCTGCAGTGACACATGTGCTCATACACCAACACCAGGCGCTGGTGTGGGATTCAGCTCAGTGACAGACTGCATGCATGGCACATATGAGGTTCCATCCCCAGCACTGCATGGGTGAAAATTCGATATATAAAAAGTGATCATTTATCTAATGATGCACAGAGAAGAAGACTGGAGTAAAGCACACAGCTTGCAACAGCACCTCAGAAGAGAGGCAGGGGCTGGAGAGATGGCTGAGGTAGGGGCTGGAGAGATGGCTGGAGGCGGGGCTGGAGAGATGGCTGGAGGCGGGGCTGGAGAGATGGCTGGAGGTAGGGGCTGTTGAGAGTACATACTGCTCTTGTAAAGGACCTGAGTTCAGTTCCCAGCACCTATATTAGGTTGCTCACAATCACCTATAACTCCAACTCTGGGGGATCTGATGCCCTCTTCTGGCCTCCTTGGACACTGCACTCAATGCACATACCCTACTCCACAACAGATAGACAAGCACATATGCTTTTGCAGCAAGCCTGCACTCAGTTTCTAGCACCTACACGGCAACTTATAACTCCAGATCTGACACCCTCTTCTGGCCTCAGTGGACACTGGGCACATATGGTGCACATTCGTGAAGGCATTCACTCATACACATAAAATAAAAAATAAATCTTAAAGACTTTTACAAGGAAAGCACAGGACAGGGTGTCTGTGACCTTGGGTTTGGCAGCAAGTTCTAATGTTCCATAAGGAAGAAGTCAGTGAAATGTCTTTCATTAAAAAAGATGGCTAAGAAGCTAATTAGCAGCACTTGTTCTTCTAGAGGATCCAAGTTCAATTCCCAGCACTCACATGGTAACTCTCAACCATCCATAACTGGGGTGGGGAGGGCACAGTTGCTGGCTAACATCTGCGGCCAGACACTGGGGTGAGTGGGAACAGAGTTCCCGGCTAACACCTGCAGTCAGATATTGGGGTGGGGGGCACAGCTCCTGGCTGGCCACATGATAACAAGAATGAACAGTGAAACTACTCCAGAGACTATGTTGTGTTTAGACGCAGATGTTCAATAAAGTATATAAGACATTCCCAACTATACTATGAGACAAGCTTTGTATTGGACAATTTTGCTCAGTTCTGTGGTCATAGCAGTGTTCCAAACACACCTAAGGCTAGGCTAAACTTTCAAGTTCAATGAGGTTAGCATATCAAATACAATTATAGGAGGTTACTTTTATTTTATGAACATGTATGTGTCTGTGTGTGTGCCGTGTGAGTGCAGGTGCCCACAGAGGCCAGAAGAGGGCGCTGGATCCCCTGGAACTAGTTACAGCAGGTTCTGAGCTTCTGGACATGGGTACTGGTAACTGTGCAAGAACAGCAGGTGCTCTTAAGCCCTGAGCCATCTCCCTGCCCGGAAGACAGGTTTATCAGACAGCAACCCTCACAGCACCTGTACATGCACAGGACAGATTACCGCTCGGCAGCAGTAAGGAACAAACAGTATCCACGGCAGGATGAATGAACGAGTCCAGGGCAGCTGTCACACACCATTGTCTCTCTGATGCACAGATATCTAATCAATAAAAGTTTTGAGAAATGAACGAGTCCAGGGCAGCTGTCACCACCGCTGTCTCTCTGATGCACAGATACCTAATCGGTGAAAGTTTTGAGGAACCACGAAGCGTATTTGGCCTCTCAACAGTGCTTTCCTACCAGGCACAGTGGCGCTCACCTTTAACCCCAGCACTTGGGAGGCAGAGGCAGGCGGATCTCTGTGAGCTGCAGGCTAGCCTGATCTACAGAGAGAGTTCTACATCAGCCAGGGCTCTACCATGAGACTCTAAAATATACAAACAAATGGCATTTCTTTCATAGTCCCCACCAGCAATCCACATTTTCACATTTATTTTGGTGTCTTCAATGGGACAGCTATTAGATTTATATTAGCAGTATAAGCTATACCAGACCTACTAGTAAATTCTTGCTTCCTGTTAAGCTAGACTCAGTCCATTTCACTGATATACAAAACTTCAAGTAGAAAATCTGGCTAGAGGGTCTGAACCAGTCTCTCCTGCCCGAGACAGGGCTTCTCTGTGTCGCCCTGGCTGTACTGGAAGTCCCTCTGTAGATCAGGCTAGCCTCAAACTCAGAGATTTGCCTGCCTCTGCCCCCCCCACACCCCAAGTGCTGGGATTAAAGGCGTGAGCCACCATGACCATCGTGAACTAGTCTTTAATGTATCAGTACATGTACACTGTACACAGTGACAATTTCAAAACAACATTTTCACTGTGGTAGTTTAGGGGTGTTGACCATAGTCAAGCTGCATGACCGACATCTGCCCTCCCTCCCTTTACCCAATAGATCCTCCTCCGCTTTCTACTTCATCTTACTTTAGAAAAACCCTCATGGAGGCTGAGTGTGGTGTGGATCTCTGTGTGTTCAAGGCCATCCTGGTCACATAGCAAGTTCCAGGACAGCCAGAGCTACATAATCAAGAGACCCGGTCTTAGTAAGAAAAAAAACCCTTCATGGGCTGGAGATGCCTCGGCAGGTGAAAAGTGTGTGCTATTGAGCCTGATGTCGCAGTTAGCTTCATGCGTCAACTGTATACAACCCTAGAGTCACCTGGGAAGAGGGTCCACTCTAGAAGCTGCTTCAGTCAGACTGACCTGCGGCCAGGTCTGTGAGACATTTTCTCAGCTGCTGACTGATATAGGAAGGCCCAGCCCACTGTGGGCACCACAATCCCTAGCCAGGTGGCCTGGGCCCTATCAAAAATGGGAGCTGGGCAGCAGGAAGCAGGGTTCCTCTATGGTCCCTGCTTCAAGCTCCTCCAACAAACATGGCTGCCTAGGAGGAAGGGAATGCACATGGAGTTGTACAGGTGCGGCTGGTCACCATAATAAAAGTCATGTAATAAACCTGTCCCCTCACGAGAAGCAAAAGTCTCTTACAAGCCAGGCCTTTCTGCAAGAGTCACTTTGAGAGTGAGTAAGAAACTAGATGAGGGGCTGGAGAGGTGGCTCAGAGGTTAAGAGCACTGACTGCTTTTCTAGAGGTCCTGAGTTCGATTCTCAGCAACCACATGGTGGCTCACCACCATCTACAAATCAATCTGGTGCCGTCTTCTGGCATGTATGCAGAACACTGAATGTGTAATAAATAAATAAATCTTAAAAAGAAAGAAACTGGATGAGAGGAGACAGTGGGGGGCAAACATTCCAGGCCCGGGTGCCGCCCCTCGGCCCGCCGGCTCTTACATGGGCTCTTCTGCTCCTGCCGCATCTGCTCTGTGACTGACCCCCTGGCATCCAGGGGGAGAGCTCACACGAGACAGGTGGAGCCAGCTGTCGCCCAGCTGTTCCCTTAAGAACAGTGGAGTGTCAGTTATTCCAAAGGCACAGCTCTCATTATGCAAATGAGCACAGAAAGGTCATAACGAAGAAAAGCCTAGAATACATTTGCTTAGCTTTTGCGGGTATCAGTCATCAGCTGTGGTGGCTGTCACTCACTTCAAGGAGGAGTCCCCGACGCCGATGCAGCCGCGCAAGCTGAGTTTTCTAAGGAAACCACCGCACCTCTTGGAGATGTTTTCCACCACTCGGCCCTTAAGTGGAGAAAGGTGGGAAATGGTCACTTTTGCACATTGCTTCTTTCGAGACAGAGTAAGCTCAGCTGCAAACAGTTTTCCAAACTCGACAAGAGAGGCACCCAAGGCTCTCTGGAGTCCGTCCTCACCTGTCTTCCAGCGGTACAGGGAAGGCTCTCTGAGAGCCCAGTTGCCTTTCAAAGGGTTGGACACACCCTCCCCATGCTCAGTTACTCCAGCAATTCCACTGGAACGCAGCTGTGGAAGCCACTGGAGAATGAAATAATACTGCTAAAAAACAAGTCAACCTTTTTAGTATGTGTGTGGTGTGTGTAGTGTATGTGGTGTGTGTGTATTGTATCTGTGTCTGTGTGTTTGTATGTGTGTATCTGTGTGTTTGTCAGTGTGTGTATATTGTGTATGTATGTATTGTGTGTTTGTGTGTATCTGTGTGTGTATGTATGGTTTCTGTGTGTGTTTCTGTGTGTGTAGTATGTGTAGTGTATATGGTGTGTGTGTATTGTATCTGTGCCTGTGTGTTTGTGTGTGTGTCTGTTTGTGTCTATGTATTGTGTGTATGTATGTATTGTGTGTATGTTTGTGTGTATCTGTGTGTGTGTGTGTGGTTTCTGTGTGTGTGTTTCTGTGTGTGTAGTATGTGTAGACTGTGTGTGTTTGTGTGTGTGGTGTGTGTCTGTACTGTGTGTGTATCTGTGTGTGTCTGTGTATTGTGTGTATGTATGTATTATGTGTGTGTTTGTGTGTATCTGTGTGTATGTATGGTTTGTGTGTGTGTGTGTGTGTGTGTGTGGTGTGTTTTTGTCTATAGCTATCTTGACAGAAACCTATAAACACAAAGAATTTGCTAGGACACAAACCACAACATCATAAGAGGGGCTGACACACACTGCTACCCGGCTAACGTTTCAGCTAGACCCAAGTCTGAACTTGGACTCCGGTGGTATTCATTATGTTTTCTTGAGGGTTACCTGAGCTAGCTTCTAATATTTTTATTCATGTATATGTGCATGAGTACCCGCAAAGGCCAGAAGGCACTGGATCCCCTGGACCCAGTTTTTAGGAGCTGGCAGGCCACCCAACATGTGTGCTATGAACTGAACCAGGGGCCTCTACAAAAGCTGCCAGCAGATGCCCATGAGGGGCCTGCCCCTTTCTCAGTGAATATGGACGAGGGGTGGATTGGGGCAGGGAGGGGGACGGAGGGGAGGCTGCAGTCAGGATGCAAAGTAAGTAGTAAGTGCTGAACTGGTTGGAAGGGCTTGGGGCAGCTGCACAGGGAACATGGAGGCAGAAGTGAATGTTTCCTTGTGTGTGTAAGGAATTCTCAAGAACAAAGACAGATCAACGTAAAGATGAAAACCAGAAAGTGCTCTTAGCCCCTGAGCCATCTCTCTAACAGGAGTTTATCATCTTTAAGCAAAGTCCAAGAAAACTGTAATAAATCTTTGCTACCCGAGGGAAAGACTGGGACTTGGAAATCTAGGTATGTGAGCGCCAGCGGCAGATGCCCACAGCTGCTCCTGAGCAGCCTCCTCTCCATTTTGAAGACTTCTATAGTCTTCTCCCCACTGGAGCAACAGTTCTTGTACCAGAATAAAAAATTTAAAGGTTATGTACATGGCAACAATTATGCATCACTGTTTCTAAGAAGGGAAAAAATAGCAAGTCCTTTGCTAATTCAATATGTCCTCACTAACCCCGCTACCTGCCTGCCATAGCACACCAGGGGCAAGCGCATCAGGGTGACAGGCGCTGGCGAGAAAGGGCTGAAATAGGCCTTAAAACCTATTAAAAGTTAGACCTTTAGCGTGTCACTTTTTGGCCTGGTTATACTCTTTAGTTAGAACTTCGGGAATCTGTGTTATCTGTTTTTATCACTTTCAGCCTCCCTAACCCATCTCAGTCCACCCCTCCCCATGCACCCACTCTGGGGGTTGCTTTTGTCTTCTTCACCCATCAAGTCCAGTTTGCGCTATCCATCTACTCGAGGAGGTGTGACACCCCACTGGAGCATGGGCCACTTACAGGGCCTCTACTCTTAAAGGAAACCGACTCCCCTCTCCCAACAGTGAGAATGTCAATAGTTCCTTGGCTATGGGTGGGTAGCATTTTTTGTAACTACAAAGATTGATGAGGAATGTCCAATTTGCTTTTTATTTTAAATTTTATTTGTTTATATGTGTATGTACGTAAATGTACCATGGTGCATGTGTGAAGGTCAGAGGTCAATCTGCAAGAGTCTGTTCTTTCCTTCCACTACGTGGGGCCCCAGGACTGATCTCATATCGTCAGGCTTGGTAGCAGGTGCCTTTACCAACCCACTGAGCCATCTCCTGGTCGCACATGTCCAGTCTCTGAAAGCATGGGAATGCCTTGACACAGAGAAGCAAGCACACTCAGAAAGAGTGGCCCTGGGCAGAAGACTCCTAAGTTCCCACCACCTCAACACTTCACTCTTTTCTATCAACTGCAGGTGTGTAAACCACTTCCCTAGCTAAGTATTTAGACTCAACCTATCTGTTCCTCAGTTTCTTCAGTCTTTTTTTTTCAAGTTAGTTTATCAATTCACATGTCACATGTATGTGTGTTTGCCTGTGTGAGTTTAGGTGCACAATGTGAGTGTAGGAGCCCTCAGAGGTCAGAAGAGGGCATATGATTGCCTAGAACTTAGATGGTTGTAAGCCACCATGTGGTGTTGGGAATCAAACCCAGATCAAGTGCTCTTAACCACTGAGCCATCTCTACAGCCCCTCTGCTGTCTGGTATTAAGAGCTCATGCATTAACATACATGGCTTGCTTAGAACTGCATGGGCAGTCAGGAATTACTGCTGTGTGTTATCTACAGGGACGACGGCTTCCCTTTCAGAGGGACACATGGATCCCTCAAGTCCTTGTCTCTTCTGTACTCACATGGCCAAGCATGAGGAATGAAGGGAGTCAAGAGAGAGAGGAGAGTGTTCTGCCCACTTGCTATAGATGCTTGCAGTACGGAGAGATCCTGCCTCAAAAAACACTATCACCAATGGGACCAGAGCAGCATCTGAGTATAAAGGTGCCTGTTCCCAAGCCTGAAGACCTGGGTCTGATCCTTGGGACCTCAGAACCAACTCCTGCGGGTTGTCCCATGACCCCACTTATACACTTGATAATGCATGCACGCACACACACACACCCATACAATAAATAAATACAAAAATAATTTAGGTGGACTTCCTTACCTCTACATCTGTCTGAAAGTTAAAAAGGTCTATTCTTTGCCAGTTGCTTCCATCCAGGGCTAAGATGTTCCATGCCTGGGAGGTGGAGATAAGAGAGGAAGGTGGGGTGGGGGACACATCTGTTAAGAACGGATAATGTTTTGTATTTCCAAACATTTATTCATGGTGTACGTCGAGTTAAAGAATTATAGTCTGTTATTTTAATAAGACAACATAGAATAATTGTAATGTGTTTGACCCGAGCTCACTTCTCTCATCGATACCAACAATCAGGCGATACTCTACCTTGGAAATTTGTGCACACCGGCAAAGAGTTACGATATCCAAGAAGGAGAATATTCTAGAGAGAGACAGAAAGAAAGAAAATGAGGTGACATCAACATCTTAGGACAATAAGCACTTGAGAGATAAAATCTAAGGTATCACCTGAATACACAGAATTTTCAAGAGCCATTGGCTGGCAACACCCTCAGCTAACAACACTCTCATGCATACCAATTCCCCATCGCCGCTGTAAAACTGTCTGCCTGCTCCAATTCTGCTTTAGTCCTGTCATACAAATTCTCTCCAATCAGGAGTCATAAAACTTCTACTTCTCCTGCTCTGAGAACTGGTTGTGGAAAAATGGAGCCTTCTTTCTCCCTGAAGACCAGCATTCTAGTTTCCCAGGTGCTGGGACTGGGGTAATTAGTTCCCATCCTTCTAATGTTCCTAATGAGCAGTGCCAACTCCTGGTCACAGATACTGGAGCCTCAAGGGACATGGTTCACAGAGTTTGATGAGAAAGTCCTATGACTGGGTGTGCCTGTCCACCTGGCGAAGACTGCTCCCAGTCTTCAAGAGCTTCCCCAGGTAAAAGCAAGTAGCCAGACCATCCAGCGTCTGCCACCCACTGGAAGAAGGGATGGGAAGACGACAGTATAAGAACAATTCAACAACAGAAAGACTAATATGACACCACCAGAGTCTAGGGATTCTACACCAGCAAGACCTGAACATCCCAACATAGATGAAGCAGAAGAGAATGACCTTAAGAACAACTTTTAAAGATGATAGAAACTCTTAAAGAGAAAATGAGAAAAATCCCTTAAAGAAATAGAAGAAAAAATAGAAGAAATGGAGGAAAAGACAAACCAAAAAAATGCAACAAATAAACAAATCTCTTAAGCAAGGAAAGCCAAGAAAAAACAATCAAACAGGAGAAAAACAATTCAAACAGTTCAAGACTTGAAAACTGAAATAGAGATAATAAAACACAAACCGAGGGAATGCTGAAAATAGGAAATCTAAGTAAATGATCAGGAACTACAGATGCAAGCATAACCAACAGAATACAAGAGATGGAAGAGACTCTCAGGTGTTGAAGATGCACTAGAGAAAATGGATCCATTGACTGAAGAAAAAGTTAAGTCCAACAAATCCTTAATACAAGATATCCAGGAAATATGGGACACTGTGAAAAGACCAAACCTAAGAATAATAGGTATAGAAGACAGTGAAGAAGCCCAGCTCAAAGGGGCAGAAAACATATTCAACAAAATCATAGAAAACTTTCCCAACCTAAAGAAAGGCATGTCTATGAAAGTACCAGAAGCTTACAGAACACCAAATAGACCACAAAAAGTCCCCTCACCACATAATAATTAAAACACAAGACATACAGAATAAAGAAAGAATATTAAGAGCTGCAAAGGAAAAAGGCCAAGTAACATATAAAGGCAAAACTATCAGAATTACACCCGACTTCTGAAAGTCAGAAGGTCCCGGATAGATGTTCTACAAACACTTAAAGACCAGGGATGACAGCCCAGCTACTATACCGAGCAAAGCTTTCAATCACTATGGATGGAGAAAGCAAGATATTCCACGACAAAATCAGGTTTAAAGAATATGTATCCACAAATCCAGCCCTACAGAAAGTACTGGAAAGAAACCCCAACCCAAGAAAGCTAACTATACTCACAAAACATAGGCAATACATTATCCCACTTTACCAAAAGTCAAAAAAGAGGGGAGGGAATCCACACACAATAGCACAACAACCACCAAATCTAAAACTAACAAGAAACAACTATCAATGATCATTAATATTCCTCAATGTCAATTTTCTCGATGGTATCACCTGCCAAAATTAAATCAAGAACAGATAAGCAACTTAAATAGACATATAACCTCTAATGAAATAGAAGCAGTCATCAAAAGTCTCCAAACCAAAAAAAGCCCAGGGTCAGATGGATTCAGTATAGAATTCTACCAGAAATTCAAAGAAGAACTAATATCAATACTCCTCAAATTATTCCACACAATAGGAGGGTCATGGCCAAACTCTTTTTATGAGGCTACAATTACCTTGGTACCCAAACCACACAAAGACACTACACTAAGAAAGTTACAGACCAATCTCCCTCATGAACATTGATGCAAAAATGCTCAATAAAATACTGGCAAATCAAATTCCAGAATACATCAGAAAACTCATCCACCATGATCAAAGGCAGTTTCATCCCAGGGATGCAGGGATGGTTCAACATATGAAAATCCATCAATGAAATCCACCATATAAACAAACTGCAAAGGAAAAACCACATGATCATCTCACTGGATGCTGAAAAAGCCTGTGACAAGATCCAGCACCCCTTCATGATAGAGGTCTTGGAGAGATCAGGGATAACAGGAACATACCTTAACATTTGACCATCAAATTGTAACTGTAAATCACCCTTGTAGCAAAGAAAGGCTGGTGGTAAAATGCTATGGCCCAGATCTGGGATGGGTAGGCAGGCGACAGAGAGGTGCTATGTCAGTGGGGGTCCTGGGAATGGTGACAATGGCGGTAGGCATTCTGGCTTCATGCTGAGTTCAAACATGCCTTGTTCCAGAGGCAAAAGATCCGTAATCAAGTATTGCTTAGCTTAGCCCATGGCAATCCTGGTAGCCAAGAAGTTTGGTTAAAGATGATTTAAGGATAAGGTTCTTCCGATGACTGACAACCTGTGGGGAAGACACCTCCCACCTAAGACAGGGGTCACAAGGTCCTCCAGAGACGGGCAAGGGAGGGTGACCCTACTTGACCTAAGCCAGGAGTGCCTCATAAAAAAATAATAATAATAAAGGAGGAATTGTGGGAACAACAGACCTTGGCCTGAAACCCACTCCTCCATCAGCCTGGGAGCAGGCAGCTGTGAGACAATGTTTACTGAAAACATGTTTACTGAAAACAATCCAATGCCCTAAGAAATGTTTACCGGAGCAATAAGTTCCTGATAAGGGCTCAATAAGGGCTCACTCACTGAAACACCCTGACTTAGATCTTTCCCATGGCTAGCCACCTCTTCCTGCCCCCTGCTGTGGCTGCTGATTCTGGTGTCAGGGATTTAACCACCAGCCAGGAGGAGGAAGGGGATGTGTGTGTGTGTGTGTGTGTGTGTGTATCAGAAGCTTTTCGGAAGGGAAGCGTTTCTTGGGAAGTTCTCCTGAGCCTTCTTGGGGAGCATAAAGATTTCTTAACGCAACCGACTGGTCTCTGTGTCATCAATCCCGATACCCTTGCCACATTCGTGGATACAGGCTGCGTGGCGGCGCGGCAGACAAGATCCAACATCCCTTCATGATAGAGGTCTTGGAGAGATCAGGGATAACAGGAGCATACCTTAACATAATAAAGGCAATATACAGGAAGCCAACATCAAACTAAATGGAGACAAACTCAATGTGATTCCTCTAAAGTCAGGAACAAGACAAGGCTGTCCACTCTCTCCATACCTCTTCAATATTGTACTTGAAGTTCTAGCTAGAGTGATAAGACAACAAAAGGAGATCAAGGGGATACAAATTATAAAGGAAGAAATAAAACTTTCACTATTTGCAGATGATATGATAGTTTACATAAGTGACCCGAAAAATTCTACCAGGGAACTCCTACAGCTGATAAATACCTTCAGCAAAGTGGCAGGCTACAAGATCAACTCAAGAAAATCAGTAGCCCTGATATATTTACAATAGCCACAAACAACATAAAATATCTTGGAGTAACTCTAACCAAACAAGTGAAAGACCTTTTTGACAAGAACTTTAAGTCTTTTAAGGAAAGAAATTAAAGAAGATATCAGAAAATGGAAATATCTCCCATGCTCTTGGATAGATAGGATCAACATAGTAAAAATGGCAATCTTACCAAAAGCATTTTACAGATTGAACGCAATCTCCATCAAAATCCCGGCACAATTCTTCACAGACCTTGAAAGAGCAATACTCAACTTTATATGAAAAAAAAACCCAGGCTAGCCAAAACAATCCTGTATGATAAAGGAACTTCCACAGGCATCACCATCCCTGACTTCAAGCTCTATTATAGAGCTATAGTAATGAAAACAACTTGGTTTTGGCACAAAAACAGGCAGGTAGACTAATGGAATCGAATTGAAAACCCTGATATTAATTCACACACCTATGAACACCTGATCTTTGACAAAGAAGCTGAAGTTATACAATGGAAAAAAAGAGCATCTTCAACAAATAGTGCTGGCATAACTGGATGCTGGTGTGTATAAGACTGCAGATAGATCCATACCTATCGCCATCTACAAAACTTAAGTCCATATGGATCAAAGACCTAAACATAAATTCAGCCACACTGAACTTCTTAGAAGAGAAAGTGGGAGGTACCCTGGAACGAATTGGTACAGGAGACCACTTCCTGAACATATAACACCATTAGCACAGACACTGAGATCGACAATTAATAAATGGGACCTCCTGAAACTGAGGAGCTTCTGTAAGGCAAAGGATATAGTCAACAAGACAAAAAGGCAGCCCACAGAATGGGAAAAGACAGTCACCAACCCCAAAACTGAGAGAGGGCTGATCTCCAAAATTTACAAAGAACTCAAGAAGTCTCCAAAACACCAAATAATCCAATTAAAAAGTGGGGTGCAGAATAAATAGAGAAATCTCAATAGAGGAGTCTAAAATGGCTGAGAGACACTTAAGAATGTGTTCAACGTCTTTAGCCATAAGGGAAATGCAACTCAAAACAACTCTGAGATACCATCTTACACCTGCCAGAATGACTAAAATAAAAAACACCAATGACAGTTTATTCTGGTGGGAGTGCCAACTCATGCACCCACTTTTGCAATCAGTATGGAGATTCCTCAGGAAAATGGGAATCAGTCTAACTCAAGATCCAGCAATTCCACTCTTAGGCATATACCGAAAGGATATGCACATTCATACAACAAGGACATCTGTTCAACTATGTTCATAGCAGCATTATTTGTAATAGCCAGAACCTGGAAGCAACCTAGGTGCCCCTCAACTGAAGAGAGGATAGAGAAAATG